CCCCCCCAAAAAAAGACCAAACAAGTCCCAGCTCCCCCTCTTAGTGCTTTGAATTTTTATTAAAACAAAGGAGAAAACCATTATTTCTTCTGAGTACAACAGTCCAGGGGAACGGGAAAGCGGCTGTGCCAGGCCACAGCCACCCGAATCGCAGCCACGTGTGGGGTGTCGATCCGAGGCAGCACTGGTTTTAAATTAAAAGGGTTCAGGACACGATCTACTACACACCAAGCCCCGGGTTGACCCTCCGACTGACTCTGGTGTGGCTGTAGGTCAGCTGAGGTTGTGGGAGGGAGGAATTGGGGGTCTCAAGAGGATGTGGGAGATGCCCAGGGCAGCACCGGCTCCGTTAAAGGGTAAATCGCAGCTGGGAGGAGGTTTCCCCCTGAGCGGAGGGCAGGGTTTGGGACGGAGACACGAAGGAAAGGTCAGGGCATCCCCGTTTCCCCGTGGCCACGGCCAGGGGGTCAGAGCTGTGAACAAAGGCACCTTGTTAAGGCCAGGCAGGAGCAGGCAGCCCCAGCGCTCACCTGCCAGGACACAGAGCCCGGGGAGGAGCTGGGGGCTGGCCCACATTATATTCAGGGGTGCTGGACCTGGGCATGCAGCAAAAGCCCAGCCCTGAGCCCCCAGGGACACCCCCCGGTCTCAAGCTGCCCAGGTTTGTCACAGTTAGCAGGAAAAAAAAAAAAAAAGGTTTAATTTGGTTGGCACTAGCTGTTCGCCTGCTCCTTACCAGAAACGAGGAGGAGGATGAAACCTTCCTCCCCACGCCCTGCCCCTGCCTCCTCTCCCTGGCGAAGCAGCAGCCCTCACCCCCACAGCCCGAGGTCCCTGCAGCCGCTGCCATCCCGCTGCCTGCCCGCCTGCCTCCCTGGGCGTGGGGAGAGCCGGCGCGACGGCCCCTGATTTACAGCACTCTACTAGGACATGCTCTGGGTGCCTAATGGGGCTCCCGGCACTGCCAGCACCGCTGGCACCCAGCTCAGCATCCCACAGGACACGGACGGCGCCCCGGCCAGGGGGGACCCTTCGGCACGCTCCTCCGCTGACTGCTGGGCTGGGGGGCACGGCCACAGCCCCGACCCCGGCACTGGGGGAAATCCTGGAGGGCCAAGCCAAAAAACTATGCTAGAAAAAGAAGAAAAAGGCTGGAAAAAAAAACAAAAAGAGAAGGGAGGAGGATGAATGGACACTAAGCTAGAGAACATCACACAGTCCGTGGGCAGCCAGGCCTTGAGTCCATCGGTGTGCAGAGGCTGGCAGCACCTGGAGGGGGCCGGGGGGCAATGCCCGGCTCCCCTGCCCTGGTCGGGGCACACCGGTCCTGGGGGGAGGCTCCGGCTGGTGGGGGGGCCGGCCGGCAGGCAGCAGCGGTGCGGAGCAGCTGGTCGCTTCCTAGAGCTCCTCGAAGAAGGCCACACGGGACTTGGTGCTCTGTAGGGTGAGCTGCAAGAGAGCAGAGGGGGCGGCTGAAGGGGGACGGGGCTGACCCCCTCCTTCCCACAAGGCACCCAAACTGCAGCTTCACCCCCGGGGTGGGCACCGGGCTGAGCAGGAGGGAGCTGCTGCCTTTACCCCCTCCTGGCCCGGCCCCTGCCCCTCTGAAAGTCCCAGGGAGGGCAGAAGCAGGGATGTGGCGCAGGCCTGCAGCAGCTGAGCCCCCAGCTGCAAGAAGCACGGCCCAAAGGCAAAGCGTGGGGCATGGGGAGGTGGGCTGGGCTGGGGGGAGCGGTGGCTCGCTGCTGCCCACACCACCTTCCCCCAGAGCAGAGGCTGCTGGGGGGTTTGATCAGCAGCGCCAGCGGGGCCGCTGTGGGGTACGCAGGGGCCCGGAGCAAGGGTGCCAGTCCTGTGCCCTCAGCGTCCAGTGTGCTCCCTCCTCTCCTTGCCCTGCTGGGGGGGGCGGAACACACGGGGCTCTTGCAAAGTCGGTGGAGAAACAATCTCCATCAGCTGAGGACAGAGGGAGAACCACGCTCATCTCTAAAGTCACAGCTTCCCCCAAGTCCCTAGGCCAGCCATGTCAACCATGTCACCAACATGTCACCCGCTAGGGACTGTCTTCTGTCCCATGCTTATGTCCAACCCCAAGCCACCTCCCTCCATGGGACGAGCCCACGTGCCCAGTGTGGTCCGAGCAGCCACAACGCAGCTCGTCACCCCCATCCCAGCACCTGCGAGGGGCTGCTGCATCCCCCTGCCCCTGAACCTCATCCCAGACCAGCTCGCTCCATCCTGCAGCAGGATGGAGCCAGAGAGCCCTCGCCTGTGGGACTGCATCCTTGGAGCCAAGGCTCTGCAGGACTTGGAAACCCGGCCCAGAAAATCTTTCTGCAGCGCTAGCGAGGTTATCCGAAAAATAATACCCCACGGAAGGACAGCGAGCCCATTTTCTAACTGGCCAAACGAGAGATGAAAGAAACACCCTCAGCACTGAGGAAAAAATTGCAGTATTTACAGATAACCACCCAAAGGAGCATGGTGGGAGAAGTGCCACCTTCCAACCAGCTGCTGAAACACCGCAAGAGTTTGCCAAACCAGCCGGCTAATTGCAAAGGCTTCATTTCAGCTGGGTTAAGCAGCGGTGCCTTCCGCCGGGGACGCCGGTTTTGCTGAAACAGGAATCCTATGATCACGTTACAGTGAGTTAAGCCAAGCGCTTCCCCCGCCCTGCTTCCCCCCACGGCCTTTCCTCAGTAATTCCTTCACAGCTGTAATGCCATTCTGAAAAAATCTGTACTGCAGAGGAAATTTCTGCAGGAGTTTAATACTCTTTGCTGACAGCATCTCCTGGGCCAGGGCTGGCTCTCCTCCTCCTTAGTACCCCCCTGCTCCTCCAGCAGCCCCTCCAGAGCTGGATGGAGGGTGGATGTGATGGGTCAGGGGCTTTGAGTGCTATGGGCTGCTCTTTGCCTCTCTTTCAAGGCTGGAGAGGCAAAAAAAAAAAAAGGAGTGGGCTGCCCCAGCCTGCTGCCAGCCCCACTGATAGCCCCAGTGTAGGCTTTACTTTGGCTCCTCCAGCAGAAATCCTGCCTGTGATCCCAATCAGACACCTGGCTGGGTCACAGGCCAGAGAATTTGGCATCTAAAACCTGAGTGGACATCTCGGTCTTTCCCTTTGAGCAGGGCCCTGCCTCCTGCTGCAGTGACCTGGCGCAAGAACAGGGACTGCTGCCCCTGGCAGAGAAGGGCGGTGGGTGAGGGGGTGTCAGGGGGCTGAGAGGGGTGGGTGAGGCTGAGTGGTCCCACGTGTCAGCCAGGGCTCACACCAGGGCCCCTGCGCCCACCACAGCCCAAAATGGGGCAGTTTTGCTTTCCTGTTTCACCTCCGAGAGTCCAGACATCCCTGAGGAGGAACATTTACGTGCCAGCTTTCCACTTCCTAACACCCTGTCACTGAAGTCATCTCTTCTGCAGGTTGGATGGTGAATCAAAGCCCCTCAGCCCCTCCCCGGCCCACAGCAGTGCCGCTCCATTAAAGCACAACAAGGGGAGATGCCACCCAGGTCCCCCCCAGCCAACTCAGTGCTCCGATGCAGAAAAGAAAGGAGCCAGCTACAACCCCTGATGAGGTGGAGGGAAGATGTTTCCCCCGGGGTTGTAGGGAGATTAGTCTATTCTGCTCTCTGCCTTTAGCTACACACAGCTCTCTACTGAACCCCCACGTGCTTTCGCAGTCCTGGGCTACCTCAAAGCAAGGCTCGGGCAGCAGCCTCTGTGCCCAAAGCTGCACCTTCCCGAGCAAATGCTGCTGCAGCGTCGGGGGAGCACGTGGAGGCAGAGCTCTGAGGGCATCTGGCATGGACACAGGGAGAAGGAAGAGATGCAGCCCAGCTCTTAAACCAGCAGCTTTCAGCCGTGACTTTCAAAAGCTCCCTGAGACGCTCAGTGTTGTTTTAACCTATCCAGGGAAACTGAGGCACGGTAAGAGTAGCCCAGCTGTGGGCATAGGGGGAGTGGGAGCCTTGATGAGATGGAGTCCCACAGAGAGGTGTGAGTGCTGACATCCCGAGAGGGCCATGCCTGGGGCTCAGTGCACTCAGCAGCGGCCAGATTTTGTCACCTCAAAGGCAAAGACCACAGGGATTTCAGTGGTGACAGAGCAGGCACCTGCACTGTCCCCCTCGCTCCCACCATGCTGAGGCACCCCCCTATCTCTCATCACCCCCACGTTACACTCTGGCTGTTTCTCAGAAAGCCAAGAGGCTTGTGCAGTGCTGGCGTCGGGGCAGGATTTTTTCCCATTTAGGCTCCCCAAAGAGGAGCCTCTGGCTGTCTTTCTCCCCAGTAACCCGGTGGGCATCAGAAAAGCATCGCACGAGTGGGATATGGGCCCCGTTGGAACACTTCTCATTAGCAGGAGCTGGGTTATTGCCAGGAGCTTGGTGGCGGCTTGAGCAAGGGAAGGGGCCAGCAACTTCAGGCTGCTCTGCCTCCGCCGGCCCTGGGGCGAAGGCACCTCCGGCAGCCGGCGCTGGGACCTCCCGCCCCGGGAACCGGGGCTGCCCGGCCCCGCTCAGGCAGCTGTCTTCTCGCATCCGATTAGTCAGGCACATGAATAATCCAAGAGGAAATTAAGATTGCTCTTGACTGCACACTGACCCTCTACTACCCATGCTCCGCTTATGCCTGGAGGGAAAACTTCCCCCCCTCCTTTTTTCTTTCTTTTATTCTTGTTTTTCTTGTTGTTGAGCAATTGCAGGCAGGGCGCTTCTCACTCCCATGGCAGGTGGGAGAGCTCTGCCACTGGCCGGTGTTGTGGCCTCGACAGCGAGGCTGGCACGGCTGCAGCCTAACAAAACCCGAGGGATGCGCTGGGGGGAGGCGCTGGAGGAAGACGGGTAGAGCCAAGGGAAGCCCCTCGGGGCAGCCTGAGTCATCTCCCCCAGCGCTGCGGGGGCACACGAGGTGCTGCAGCAGCCTGCGGTGGGGGGAGCCCTGCAGCGTGAGCCCCAGACAGCTCTCGGCAGGGAAATCCCACTCCCTCATGCAGGGGGCAACCGGTTTTGTTCTTTTCTGCAGCGGGACATAAAAGCGAGGAGCAGAGCAGCTGGGGAAGAGAGTGCAGCTCTGCTCTGGCCTCTCCACCATCTGCTGCGGGAAAGCCCTAAGGTGGCCTCCAGCACCCCTGCAAACTCCCCACACTCTCTGCCTCCCCTTTGCCCAACCAGGCAAAAAGAAATAAATATATATACCCATAACCGTAACGTTGTGCAGGCGAGGCAGAGTGATTAAGAGCGAGTTACATTCTTGCCAGTACGGACAGGGGAAAAAAAAAAATTGATTTACAAGCAGTATTATGATAATCTCCTTTCTGCAGGAGGGAGGGTGGGCTCCACAATGCACTACCAGAGCCATCAAAGAAAATTTAGAGAGAGAGAGAAGGAGTGCAATTAAGCTGCCAGAGCTCAAATGAATCAAGATATGAGAAAGGGAAGAGTCCCACTCCCTGCATTCCTACGCTGGGGTTCCTCTGAGCTCTGCTTTTACCCAGGGCTGCTGGACTGATTTGATTTAAGAAAAACAAACAAACAAAAGCAACCCAATAAGTCCTTCATAGCCAAATGCGGTTTAGAGCAGCTAACCCAATAACTGCAGGCACATAACTTCTGCTGGCTGGGCAAACCGAATAGAGAGAAACCACCCGGGCTCTCAGCGAGCCCACGGGAGCCAGTGCCCTCCCCACACACTGGAGACAGGGCATGGGCAGGGAAAGGGGCTGCAAATGACATCAACCTTCCCCCATCCTCCTGGGACCCGAGGAACTGGGAGAGGTTTCAAATTGGTCTTTCCTTTGCCGTTTCCTTGTTTATCCTGCAGCCTGGCCAGGCTGGAGGAGAGGGGCACCTGTGCCACTCCCAGCAGCATCACCTTGCCCCATGCAATGCCGGGGATGCTTTCTGGCTGCTGGCGGGGAGATCTATGGTCCCTGCTAAATCATTACCTGGTGCTGCATACAGTAAATCCTCCTTATCCCCTTTTCCTTCTCTGAATGTGTTTCTCCATCCCTGCTCACTCCCCCGACCCCACCGCACAGGTGGACCTTTCAATTCCCACATTTACTTTTGAAAGCAAAACCTTCCTATTTTTCCCTCCCCGCCCCCCTTTCCAGTCCCCACCTCGTCATTTCTCTCTTACTCCCACGCTGTCGTTTATTCTCTCCCAAGCACAACTTTCCCCCGGCCTCCAACGCTTTGATGAGTGCGTTTAAAAGAGAGAAGATGATGCTCCATTTGAAGGAAATGCTTTTCAAAGGCTGCCACAAAAATAGCTGATAGGCCTGATGTTTCCTAGTTTCCTTTCACTCCTTGTAAACAAGGAAAGGAGGCTGCCGTGTCCCAGTTTAGCTGCCAGGGAGTTTCACTTCCCAGCTCCGAGGAGAACAAGGGCAGAAAAAAAAAAAAAAAAAAAAGAACCTAGCAGGGACACAGACTTGCACACACGGTTACGTGTGGGCAAGACCCACGTGGGCTGTGCCTCCACCTCTTCCTGTACTCAGAAAATGTGTGTCCAGAGGTGTCTGGAGGTGCTCTGCTCACTGGGTATCTTCCGGCTCTCGCCTGCATCCAAGCCAGGTGCCAGGCAGCACAAAAAGCCAGCATCCTCAGTCATCTTTTCCCTCTACCCTCACAGATTCCGAGGGGATGGGGAACGCCGGTGCTGCTTCTCCTGGAAAGTCCCTCGCTGGTCGTGTGCCCGCTCTGCAGCACGCAGCCTTCCCCTCTCCTGGTGGGAGTGGATTATACAGTGATGCCACAGCAATGCTGCAGTTCTGCATGAGACTGAAGAGCACCTCACCCGTATGCGGGCTGTCACAGTTTCCACAGGGAAGGATGGATGCACCTGTGTGTGGCTCAGCCTCCTCTGTACCACCCAGGCTGCCTCCTTTTGCCCTTCCCAGAGCAGAAGTGTTTCTTGTGTTGGTACCCTCCCTCTGCAGGATGAAACTCCAGAGGCACAAGAATGTTCTTCCCTGAAATGGTCATGGTTCTCCATCTCCCCAGCAAACCACTGGAGCAAAGCAGACCCATTTCAGGCAGGGGAGTCTGTGGGTCCCACAAGGGGAGAGGTGAGGAAGGGAGGCCCCAGGAAATGACAAAGACACCCCACAAGATTTATTGAAGTCCTCAAGGGACATGTTTCAGTGATCCTTAGCAAGATGCTAGCCAGGCACAGCTGGGGAATGGGCAGAGGGAAGCCACCTGCCCCAGCACCAGCCTCCCAGAAACCTTATGCCTGTCCAGATGATTAAGTAGCCTCGTGACATTTGGTGGTAGCACAGCAGCTTTGTATCTGCATCACGAGAGACTCAGATGGCAGTGCCCATCACTAATTCACTGGTGTCCTTATACTGCCGTAGAGGACAGACCACAGTGTTTCCTGAAGGTGAGAGGAGTGAAGACAAGCCTGCAGAAGTGCTCTGCCTCACTCGCCCCTCCACGCTTGGCGGCCAGGAGCTGCTCACTGCCTAAACTCGAAGGGGACAATGCTGGGTCTGCAGGGACAGGGTAGAACATGACTGTTCATGGTCCAATAACAGAGGAAGCCCAGACTAGTCTACTGGTGATAAATAAGCAGATTTGAAGTAGCTTATCCAAACCTCAAGTGCCTCGATGATAGGAAAAAATCCTGTATCACCAGAGTTGAGGGCAACGCTGCACTGCAATTAGGATCAGTCAGGAGAGCAGCCAGCAAGAGCACGTCAGCAACAGCTCACCCCACCACCAACGTCCATGCAATCCACATGGGCACCAAAAGCGCTGGTCCCTAGGTGTGAGCTCAAGCATTGTGTCTGACAACAAACTGAGAGCCAGGCGAGAACCTGGCGGGGAAAGGCCAAGCCTGTCCGCTGAAGGACCAGAGCACTGCTCAAAGACAAAGCTGCTTGTCTGGGAACAGGCATGGAGATTTGCTCCTTGCATGGATACTTCAAAGGGCTTAAATCACAGTAAATAAGCATGACTGTGCAAGAAGAAAGCAACTGGAATGAAAGACCTGATTGTGTTTTAGAGCAGCAGCCTGTCCTGGGAGCCTTCCTACACCAGAGGATGCGAGGAAGAAGTGGGTTTTTTCATCTTCTACTACAGCCTAAGCAGCACACCCTCCCGAAGCTGAGCCAGCTGGAGTCAGCAGCACCAGCCCACGGTGGAGAGCACTACGGAGAAGGGAAATCAGTTTCCAGATGAGGTGCTTCTGCTGTGCCCACAGAGCTCATAAAAAAGGATTAGCATGTTAACCACGTAATTAAACATGAAAAACTTAGCAGGCGTCTTCAAAGGCAGGCAACAAAACCCAGAGGTCACACTGCAGCACTTGCTGTGCATCTGGTTTAATTATGGGGGCTCCTCCCAGGCACCGAATCTCTCCCAGCTGCTGGATTAGTCTTTCCACAAACTGTCAGGGCTTCATTTCACTTCCTCATGCTGCAGCCACAAGTGGATTTCACCCCAATTTCACCTGCCACAGAGTTCCTCAAGCCAGTTGGGATGGGACAGCAGGTTTCAACCACAGTCAGCCTGCCCCAGAGACACATCCAAGGTGGCCCAGACTTGCAGGGTCACCCCTTGTTTTAGCCTCTTTCCCAAGGAAATGCTTATCAATGTGAGCAGCCCGTCTTGGGAACACCTGCAGCCCCCCTGAAGAGTGGTTGGTGGCAGCCAGCCAGCACAAAACCCTAACTTGAGTGATTTACAGCTCTGCCGGCAGCCCTGAAAGGGCTGGTCCATTCAAAATGGCACAAACCTGTGCTGATCACTTCTGGGTACCAGCCAGGGGGAAGTCTGCATCTAAAGCATCCTCCTGCCTCTGCCAGAGTTCCAGATGTGCTGAGAAAATGCTCCACCGTTGGCTGTGCGTGCCTGCTATGCCAGCAAGGCTGTGCAAGCCCTCAGAGTAACTTTTAATGAAAGCTTTTTCCAAAGGCACTCACCACCAGCTTTGGCACCCGCCTTCGTGAGCACTGCTACCACAGCATCCGTGCTGTTCCTTCCCTTAGCGCTACCACTCCAAACTCGCTAAACCCTGTGGGTGTGCAAGAACCATGGTCGAGGAAAGAGCAGAAAAGCCTCCCCAAACTCATCCTCCCAAAGGAGAGAGTCAACGCTCTGCACACACACAGCCTGCAGATTGAGGGCAAATCCTCAGAGGAAAGCAGGCTCTGGAAAGAAGAGAGATGGCATTAACAGAGCAGGAGTCATCAGCGTGCTGAAGGAGGCAGGGGACAGGCAGAGGCATTGCAGGCAGGAAGGAGAGTGGTGCTGACAGCCGGTGTCCCCAGGTGCAATGGTACCAACAGCACTACCTCCAGCACCACCCCCAGCTGCAGCCTGGCCCAGGAGGTACCTGCAGACACCGGCTGTCCTCAACCGTCTGCTTCACGTTCCCTTGACACTTCTCAAAGAGGCAGACGCGGGTAACGCGTCCACGTGCTGCTCTGCTCTGAGACGGAGGCGTGTGTTTTTAGTCTGTTAGACAGTTTTGGCAACAAAGAGTTGATGGGGTTTGTTTGGTGGTTGTTTTTTTTTTTAAATCCTGAATTTCTTTCTATGGCAAACAAGGGGGAAGGTCCTGGTTTACTTCATTAAAGAAATCTTCAAAGGCCACCGTGCACCTCCAATAGATTCCCAGCCACCAGCAGCCAAGCAAAACCAGGCATGTTTAATTATTTAAGCATCTACGCCTGCACTCCCCCACTGATGCTGCCAACTCAACTTTCTGCCAAGAAAAGACGCTTCCCAGCATGGAGGATCAGGTGCAAAAACAAACGCAGAGACGCTGCGAATGCTACCGAGGGCACGGGAGCTGAGCAGGGCGGCTGCCTGTGACATGCTGCAGGGGTCACTGCGGGGACAGGCAGGGTGCTGTGCCATGGCCAGCCCCATCTCACCACACTGCACCCCGCTGCCGGGCCTGAGGAGCGTTTTAGGGGTGGCAGCAAGGGGCGCTGGCTAGAGCGGTGCATATCGCAGGCAAGCTCATGCACGGGTTAGTATTACAGCCAGTGATCCCATCGTCCCACGCAGAGTACCTTGGAATAACCTACTTTGAAGTCTCAAATGCAGATAGGTCTTCTGCCCTGGGCTTGAGGCTAAACCAGCAAAATAAAATGAACAACAAAAAAATAATCCTCTGTGATATGAGTAATGTCATTTGTTCAATCTGTACAGATTGCCTGGAGCACTAAAGTGATCAGCAGCTTCCAGGTGGGGCAGAGGGTTGGTATTATTTAAGTATTGCTAAACTGCTATCCCCTTTTCCATTTCCACTGTCTTGCATTTTCCTTTCCATCACAATTGCAAAGACAAAAGCCCTCCTGACCTCCTGGAGGCATGAACAAAAGCAGTCTGTAATTTTATTCTGATGTGCTCCACTAATAGACTATTATTTAAAAACCTTTGCTCCTCCAGCTAAGATGCAGGAGCCAGGAAGCTTTGGTTCCCTCCTGAGGGGAAGGGACAAGACAAGACTCCAGCTTCAAAGTAACCAAGACTGACCGCACAGTCCCAATTACAGCAATGAGCTCTGACAGACATCGGAATGATTGCTCAGCCACCTTCTTTAACTGAGACAAATGGGACCATCAGCTCTCTATGAACTCGTCTCTGTCAGAAGTGAAAATTTAGCATTCTCCATTTCAACTGAGGATTCTAAGCACGGAGAAAAAACTACCAAAACCTACTGGGAGCAGAAATGTCTTCAGATTCTACGATGACAAAAGGGTCTCTGAAGATCTTTATATTCTCTGCTCTGGTGGGACAGGAACCTGAATAGCTCAGGGCCAGCATGGGGAAACCAGGAAGTGAGACCCACTAGATAAATTTTCCTGCCCTAATTCAGTGATCATAAACTCCCAGCCACGAAAGTTACTGTGAACTGGTATTTTCAAATCCTTTCAGACATAACTCTCACCAGGAGCAGTACATTTGTTTTTAAAACCTGGAGTTGCTACCACAGCCTGCACCCCATGCCATACAGGAGTCCTTCACCAAGATAGCTGCTAGCAGAAAGCCACCTGGGTAAAAGCCTCTGCAGGTGAGAGGGGCTGACCACTACATCCCACCATACCAATTATGGATGCACCCTCAGCCCCTCATTTCAGAGTCCAGCTGGGAGAAGAGCAGGGTTATTAACCAAAATGAAAAGGACAGGATGTAAAAATAAAGAACAGGCTTTGTTGTGACTTTTTGGGTGTGACCCCCAGGCTAGCAGACCAAGCCATCCTAACTTTTTGGCTAAACTACTCATCTCAACCCTGTTTCTAGAGGCAGGTGGTTCCAGGGTCCACAGCACAGGGAGCAGACATCTCACACACATCCTGCTAGCGAAAAGATTTTGCTGTTAGTAGTTGAAGCTGCACTACAGGTTACTCAAGAATAGATTAAAAGAAAGGATGAGGCTTTTGGCTTTTTCTACTGAAAGCCCCTAAATCAGGAGTATTTTTTCCCCTTATTATTTACCAGACCAGATGAATACTGCTTCCTTGCAATGCCTGCAGGGAATGGTTGCAACAGGCAGGTGGGGCTTTTCCTGCTCCTGGGGTCACTAGGGTAGCAGATCCCTTCTAACAGCACCCCTGTCCAGATTTTGTTAAGGTTCAGCAAGACCTTCAAACCTCGAGATCTTTGCATCCCTTCACACAGCACTGAAGAGACAAGGCTCTTGTGGTAAATATAAGCCAGGACCACCAGAAGCTGAAATTCTCTGCACCCTGGTTCAAAGCTAAGCAGCCAGGGAAGAAAGCCTAGGTCAAACAATTTTATTATAACAACTTGTGCAAAAGCTAAATCAAAAAGAACGGTTATTTTGTTGGTTTTTTTTAAAGGCTTTCATCAGGCAAGATACAAACTGGAGCCCTCCGATACCTTTTTAATAGTGTTGTGCTTGCTGTTGCCTCGGCTGGCATTCTCGTTGTGCAATATATCCAGAGCTGTCTCTCTCTCCTTTAGCTTCAGTGCCTCAATTTCTGTTTTCAGTTCATTCAGCTGCTCCTGCAAGTGCTTGCTTTTTTCCATGTACTCTACCCTAGCACACACAAAAAAGTCCTGGGTTAGTACTGGCCAGCTGCACGTGGTGACACGATACCATGGCAGTCAATTATAATAGGAAATTGGCAATTACAACAGGAAAACCTTATCTTCATCATTTCTAGTGTGTGGAACTGACAACATTAGTTTACAGCACACAGTAAACTACTCCAAGCAATGATTTGTTCGTTATTAAAAAGAGGACCCAGACAGCTGACCCAGGAACAAAACTGCATGTTAAAGTACTATAAAAAAATAAAGTCAAGCTTGAGCTGCTGCATGATATTTCTAAGTCTCCCCATTTCTGAGTGAAGCTGCACCAGGACATAGGTGAATTGCACAGTTTCAGTCTACAAGACAGCGGTTTAAGCAGTGCTGCTCTACTCTGCTGCACCCTCTCAAACACAGCTCACAAACTTGAAGGCACAAATCCTTCCAGTAAGGAAGGACCCTGATGTACTGACTTCTCGTGTTTTAGAGGGATTTAACTTGTAAATCGTGTGGGAGAAAGCACTGCCCCCAAAACATCAGGTATCTTGTAGACACATGGCATCCCTGGGAGAGAGAAAGGTCTCCCAAAAAAAAGAAAGAAAGAAAAAAAAAACACCACCAAACCCAGCCATTCTTGGGACTCATCCCTGTCTTCCATGATGAAGCATTGACTGGAGAAAAATCACACCATGCCAGCCTTGTACTTGTGATTAAACACCGAAACCCTGGTCAAAGTACAGCAGACTAACAAGAACCCTTTCAGAGTGGCAGAATTTGTAGCAAGGTTTATCTCAGCACCCGAGGAAGGCGAACAGTCCCAGAGAAGTCAGCAAAAGCATGCATGCTATTGCTTTCAGAATTTGGCAGAGCCAAGCTCTTCCTGCTTAGAAGAGTGGGATGACCTAGTTAGCAACCTGGGTACAGAACCAGGAATTATCCTGTTATTTTTGGCTTTTTTTTTTTCCTTCTGGCTTTAGGAAAAGTTTTTAATCTTTGTCTCTAGCACAGTGGTCTGTTATTTCATACATGAGAGAGGGTACTGAGCAGAGGCAAAATAAACCACCCTCTGGGATCCAGGGCTGTTTCATTCCAGCCCCAGGAAGTTTTGGCCAGAGTGCTATGGCAGAGCCCTTCTAGCTTTGATCTACTACCCAATCAATGAACAAAGCACATTATTACTACAGAGATTAAAATCTGATCTGCTTTGATTTCTGCTAAATTTGTAATTTTGAAGGCTACACTTACACCCTCAGGAAAACACAAGATCAAAGCTTGTAATCACATCCAAACTTGCTTGCGCACATTTTTATATATAAACATGACACAGATTCCAAGAAAAAGGGGCTAAAGCCCTAACACGGGACCTTAGCACACACTCCAGCTACCTTTTCATTCTCTGGACACACTGCAAATGCACAAGCACCAGCCTGCAACAGGTCAGTGAGCACCAGCAGTCAGAGCGCTGTTAACTCTTTCTGCCAACATGGACAATTCAAGCCTGAACAAGAGCCAGGTTAACCATACAGAGAGTAATTGCCTGATGCCAGGCTCAGTGTGCTTAAACTTGCCCTTAAGTAGGCAGCGGAGAAGCGTCTGTGACACCAGGTCCCCAACCAGAGAAATGGTCAACCAGTAGCTATGTCATGCTCCAGGCGGAGCTACTAATGACCTGGGGAATGTGAATCCAAAAAACTTCTCCCCCTTCCATCTCACACTGGTGCTCATCTGGGATGTCAGTCACATTCAGCCCCAGTGCAAGCCCTCCCACTGTAACCAGGGCACAAATCCCATCCCTGGCCCAGACTGGACATGGGGCCACATACTTCTCTTTCTCGATTTCCATTGAAAGCCTCTTCATGTCCGTATCCTTGAAGTCAAAGGACAGGCTCTCGTTGATGAGGTTGAAGCTCGGCAGGTCGGTAGGCAGTGTTGTTGTACTTGAGTTCATGGACTGCTAAAGAGAAAGAGGACAAATTAATCCCTTTTGGCCACACAAGTGTTCCTATTGCAAATGTTCTGTAACAGAAGTAAAATCAGAGCAACACCTAAACACACAGTACAAGGGGCTACTTACTAACACTGTAATAAGGTCCTGATCTGCTACTCACACAGGTAAGCACACGCTCTTCTTGGAGCTGGGTCTATTCTACCTTGCAGTGGCACTGAGCTGGGTGGACCTCACCATTCACATGGGGAAAGGGAGGGGGGCACGTGTATTCCTGAGGCAACACAGCCCACAACCCTATTTTTCTGAACCAGCCTCAAACTTTCTGGAGAGCAGATGATGAGGCTCATTTTCAGCTGGTGATCTTTTAACAGAAGACTTCAATTGCAGAAGCAGAGTGTCTCAAGCACCAGATGAGCCTGAAGACCATTCCCAATATGCTCTTAAATTCAGGACTATTACTCCTCTGGGACCCCGCTCTTTGTAGTCGTAAAGAGGAAACAAAACACGACCTGCCTGCAAAGTCTATTGACAAAACTTGGTAAAATCTAGATTTTATCACTGCTGTGCCACTTAAAACAATGTTGGACAGAAGCGTGTCTCTCGGGAAACATCTGACATCTATTTAACATTAAATCAAACTTAAAAAGCACAAGCTGTGGAGAGGGGCAATGTAAGACCCTGTATGACAGTAGAGTCCTGAACTCTGCTGCTCCCCAAAGTGTGGGCAAAGAACAACGTAACCCCAAGGGTTAACTTGGGATGTAGTGTCATTAAGGTCCATGGAGATGCACGGATACATTTTTATCTTTGCAGTAATTTTCAGTTCCAAGTGTTTAGGAACCACTGCTGGGTTCAGTTGGAAATGCAGAGATAACACAGGGAATCACTCATATCACACCTGAGCAAGGATTTGGGACTTTCTTCCTCCTGCAAAATGCTGCGATATCCCCCACTGACACACACTGCCAGGCCCTCAGATTTTATCTTCCCCTACAAAAAAAAAAAAATGACTCTTCTCTCAGTCAAAAGTTGTCACACCTCTAATAAATGGGCTCATTAGGGTAGTGGAAAAACACCCTGACTCAAGTCATCACTCTGCTCCTGCGATACGTTAGGTGAAGTCACAAGCAGCAGCACACATCAAACATGGCACAGCGGCTTCAGGTGACAGACTGTGCATGGATCTGAGCCAGTGCTGCCAGCACGCTCAGCCCTCGTTCTGGACAGGAGAAATCCAGCCCGACATCCAAAAAGTCACCCACCTCTCTGCTAGATCCTGCTTCTTGCTTTAAGGGATTCCTGCTGTGAAAAACACATGCCCAAACCAGCCAGGACCAGGGGGGTGGCAGGAGATGGTGCTGCAGAGACAGCCTGCTTTGGCAGCACAAACCAAAAGCTGGCAGGATGGTTCTAGGAAACCTGCTCCAACAAACAAGATCTTGAGCTTCAGCTGGTTATCTCCCTCCCTCATTTCTCCTATTTGGGATACTCCAGGGATTGTTTGCAGCTAGCTCCGCTTCAACAAGAACCACTAGCGCCAGGGCGGTGACAGATTTACTCTGCACAATAACCTGCTTCCTCCCTCACTGCCAGTCTGGAATTCACAAACAGCCAGGGCTTGTCCCCTGCTTGCTCTTCGGCTGGACAAACCTGAGAGGGACGACATTTCATCTACCCTGCAGAGTCAAAGCTGGAATGCAAACACCTAGTACAAGCATAAACAAGGCAGCACCCAAAACTGCATTGCTTGGTCCAGCTGGAGCATTACAGGTAAGTCAGACTCACACGACAGGGAAACACAATTCCTTACTCCCGTTTGTGATCGCTGCTAGTGCAGTACACAGCCGCATTAATTCCGGAGCAGGCACTGAAAGGGACAGCTGAGTACCTCAATTCCAGTCTCGAAGGAAAGGGAACAGGTCTGCCAAAGCACTTAACTGATTTAAATACCTGCATCACATTGACATTCAAGTCCCTTCCCTGTAAGGCACACAGGTGTTCGCAAAGCCCTTCCCACGTGAGGGTCCACGATCTCTGTGCAGGGGAGCCACGATCATCAGAACCAGCCCGCTGGCCTTCAAACAACCTTTAGCATTTTTTTCAACTGTTGGGTTTTGTTTTAAAAAAACACAAACAGCAGTTAACACTTGACCAGGAATTTCAGTTGCTGCAATCATTAAGTCCAGATGCCAGCTTGTCAGGGTTACTACAGCCACTTCCTCACCTGTCCTCAGCACTGCTCTTTCATATAGCAATGAAAAAATTTGCAAAGTCAGAGAGCAGCAGCAGTGAGGAAGAGTGAGGAAATAGCAAGGGAAGAGCATGCTGAGGGTTTTCAAAGGCACAGGCTTAATACCTGAAGCAAAGCTTTTCCCTGCCAAACGCAATAATCTTGGGCAAGTCCCGCACAAAGTGCAGACATTTTTTAATCCAAGGGACGTGCGGTGTCACTGGGACACAGATCTTTTTCCTTATGTGCTTCCTCACCTTGAACAAACTGTGTAACCCTGTTACTGCATTAAAGCAATTTCCTGCAGTTAATAGAGCAAGCACCATGCTGACAGTGGTCATCCCTCCGGAGCACAGACGATACAGAGGAAGCACCGAGCAAGTCCTGTCATGAGGCTTCCCCCACAGGAAGAGCTCCTGTTGCTGCCACTGCCTTTACTTCGCTGCTCAAGAATGTGGGCAAGCTCAAGGCAGCCACTTACTACTTCAAGATGATCAGAGAAGAGATAACTACCTTTAGTCTTGCCCATGACTGGTACCTGAAGGGCAGTGAAGAAGGTGAAAAGCCATTGCCAAGGCAGTGAAGAATTAATTGTTCTCCCAGCCCTGACAACCTGAGACTCAGATTCATGTCTTCTTTCTCATGCATCACCTACCAGTCCTGTCACAAAAGCAGCCTGGCCTTCAAGGACTAAAAAGACACTGAAACAAGCTTTAAAGAACCAGGATGGGAGACTGGAAAATTACCAAAAAAATTAAAATTTAACTGTTTCTTGCCTTTCTGCAACACATCCACCCACTTCCCACTTCCTCTCCTGCTCTGGTTTCCCCAGAGGGAAGTCCTGTTTAGCTCTCGGTGCCAGGGGACAACATAGCACAAGCACTGGGACTGCAGTAAAGAACACACTCAGTGTTACACCCTCATTAAAGAAGTGAGAAGCTGGAATCTTGCACTGTTCATCAGAGCTGCCATTTACCTGAGGGACACAAGCCTTCCAACAGCAGCTTTCAAAACTGCTTCATCCCTCAGGCCACCCTGGGCTTATTCCCTCCCTTGGGCTGCACTTGCCTGCCGGGTCCCTCCATGTGCTGGCAGGGGAGGAAGGTTTGCCCAAATCCAGCTCTCTGAAGTGGAGCACAGAAACAAGATCTCTGCACATCTCACTTGTCTAGCCCCAAACACACATGCAGCAGAGCGATGAGAGAGGCCACAGGGGAAGGGAGAAGCGAGGCAGGCGTAACAGGGGATGGAAGGCCCAGCAAGGTGTTGTCACCTGGATATTGGCACAATGGTCACACTTGCATCCTCCTGACCTTGGAAATAAACAGCCATCGAGTCTGCACGACCGGGCGCTCCTCCCGGGGCTACAAGAGGGGCAGGAGGAGCAGCAGCTGCATGGGGGGACCCTGCCACCTCACTGGGGCATGTCCCCTTCCCTCCTGGCACCAGCAGTCACGTCAGGAAGGCCAAGGCTCTTTAAGGAAGGCTGATGCAGCTGGAGGGGTGGAGCTGAGCTCCACGCAACCCTACAACACCCCCAACTAAGCAGGCTTTAACTCCGCAGGCCGGAACACAGCCACATACACGGGTAGCTGGGGGTCTGCCTGACTGACTAAGGATAGACACAGCAACACAAGGGAACATGGATGTATAAGAGCTGCCAAAACAACACTGGGCTGATGTAGCCATGCAGCAGTTTCCATGAGGACACTCCACCCTCTGCACAAGTTAAAACCAGAATTAAAGAACTGGTGGATCCCAGAATTCTAATGCCGTGTAAAATAAGGAGCACTCCAAAGCTAAGCTTTATCAAGCGCTGGGGTAGCTAGCACTTGACTGAGTGTCCCATAGCTAAGACCACCTGACTGTTTTCCACCACTGCCATTTTTAAAAGCTCCTGAACATTTCTGCAGGGAACTTCAGAGAGTTGGGATGAAAAGCTGCTTCATCTCAAGCCCTCTTCAATCTGCTCCTTGAAAGTTTCCAGAGGAGGGGGGAAGGAGCCTGCAGGTACAAATTAAAACTTGAGTACTAGATAGGTCAATACCTCCCACATATGTCCGTCGAGTTTATTCCTGAAGCTGTCGAGCTCTTCCCCCTTCACCCCTCAGGCCAGCGAGGCAGCTGAGCCAGCAGCCCTGGCAGGTGCGAGCTATGGGAAGGGGAGCACTTGATGGGTTTTGCAGGCCCTGAAGCACAATTAGAGAAGTTGAGGAAAGGAACTGCCAGACGGATTGGAGCAATGGTCATTCAGTCTGGCGTTTCAGTCCCCGGCAGCAACAGGGACCAGATGCTTCAGAGGAAGGTGTGAAATCCCCTTAATGGGCAATTATGGAATAATCTCCCTTCAAGGAAGCTTTTTTCCAGCACATAGAGACATAGTATCCAGTTTATGCCCATAGAATGGGGTTCTGAACAACCTTTATCCTACCTAATAAGAAGAAGGACATCCTCCATTTCATAAGTATTTAACCCTATTTTAAAGGCTATTGCTGAGATGGTCACTCCAAAAGTGCTAGCAAAGCATGGCTCTGGCATGTGTTAAATTGGCTTAAAATTCGCTGTCTCTAATTTCACCAGAAGCTCTTGTAGCATGAGGCAGGGTATGTGGAGGGAAAGAAAAAAGAGCAAAGTGATCTTCTGCTGGACAGGATGCCTGGATGAAAAGGGCAAGCACTGCTAAGGGCTTCAGAACAGCTGCTAAGCAATGCAGCGAGACAGCTCACACCCTCCACTGACAGCACGGCGACAGGAGACTCCACCAGGCTACAGAGGAGGGCACGTTCATGGGCTGGGAAGTGGGGACTACAACACAGATCGCTCTTACTGTGTAGGACGACTTGCTGGTGATCTCCAAAAGCTTCTGCTTTGCTCTCCGCTCAGACTCGCGAGCCTCCTGAAGGTCTTGCTTTAGCTGATCAGCTTCCTTCGCTCTACAGAGAAAAATAGAAAATGGCAAATATCAGATTAAGTTGAGAGGAACGAGAAGACAGAGAAGCAGGATTACAGTATAGGTGTGGAATAGGCTGAGATTTGTCCTGCAACAAGTCCCAAACTAAGAAATCATTTGAGTAAGGGCAACACCAGAACCATTGACATGTGGAACGTTTTCATTAGCACAAAAATCCAAGCTACAGAAGGACAGCTCCAACATGGGCTCTGCATGAGCATCAGTAAGGAAGGCTAAGGGCTGGAGAAGCATGCCAAGATGCCAGAACAAGGAGAACAACTTCAGAAGTTAAGCTCAGACTTATAGGAGATGCAGTTTTCTGACAGTAAGCCTCTGCTAATGATTACTTACTACATTCAGTAATGAAAAAGCACCCAGATTGCACAGCTTTGCCCACTCGCAGAGCCCAACAATTTTAGTGCTAGTATTTACCCTTGAGGTTCAAGGGCCACCCCCCACCCCCCCCAAGAAAGCCAAAGGAGGGAAGGACACTTAGGCAAGAAGAGATGGACAAGGGCAGAGTTTGTCTAAGCAGAAGGGCTGACTCCAAGCAAGCTCTCAAACGGCAAGGAGTAATCAGTTGGAAGGAAACAAGAGTGATCTTTTACTTGCTCACTATCAAATGTGCCATGGGACCTGGGCTCTGGTATCAAGAGGACAGAAACACCAGTTTTAACAAGAAGCAAGGACTCCAGGAACCATGGAGACCTCAAGGCTAACTTGAAACAGAGAGCTCACGACTGGTAAGGAGAAATAAACAACTGAGAGGTAAACAGAGGAATAAAGAGAGCATAGGGAATGTAGCTCTACCATCCAGAAGAAAAAAAAAAAAAGTGTTATTAATGTTGTCAAGTACTTTGGGGAGTGCAGTGGGTGTTTGCAGAAATCACCCAAAAGTGGAGCTGGCTTCCACTGCTGCTGTCAGGGCGTGAGAGGTGTGGAAGGCAGAGTGCCAGGGACCACGGTACCTTCTCCCCCGCTAGCTGACGGCCCCTTTCCCTGCTGCTTTCACCACAGTATCTCTCCCAAAGAAGGCTTCAGAGAAGGGTCTCCAGCTCCAATCCAGGGAAATATCAAGGCCGCCACTGCTCTACCAGCACCTCTTCCCATGCAGGGACAGTCCAGATGTGGCAAACAGCGAGATGGAGAGAGAAACCAGCTGAGCCCTGGGGCCATTTGCTGCTGTACATGCAGGGGAGGCCAAGGGCTCACTGCAAACCATCGGATGGACTGACTCAAACCGTGAGCCACCGTTCCTGCTAAGTCAGAAGGGGGTAGGAAAGCAAAGCAGAGGCAGCTGCAAGGTTGTACCCTCTGACCTCCTCTCCGACTCCTCCGCCATTTTCAGTGCCAACATCTCTGCCTCTAGCACCTTCTGTTCCATCAGACGCTTCTCCTCCTCCGTCCGTATGGCCGTGGCTTTGATTCGCTGCATCTCCTGTTCAGCCTCAGCTGCTTTCTGAGCCAGGAGCTTGGCCTCCTCCTCTGTGATCTGAGCCTTCTCAGCCAGCAAGTCTGCTGTCTCTTCAGACCTCATCTGAGAATCAAGGCACATGAAGCCATTAAATGCACTGAATATCTCCCCAAACGTGCTTACAACCCTCAGAGCAGAGGCCTGAGCTGATCACTCTGCATCGCCGCCATGGCCCATAGAGTCCCTCCCTTCCATGAAAGCCTGCAGCCTTCTGCAGCCAAGACCTGGATGTGCCCGGGCTCGGTCCCAAATCACCCTCCTTTGTGCTCCTCCCACAGCAGGCTAGCAAGATGAAATCCATCCCATCCAGCCTCCTGCTCACTGTCCACCAGCAGCAGTTTGAGAATAGCCACAGGACAGTCACAGTGTGCCTCCTAAAACGCTTCAGCAGTGGAAAGAGTGAGGAACAGCTGCAATGCCTCGGGAAACAGCCTCCCAGAGACCTACCAGAGCTTCGTTGGCCATTGTTGCCTCTTCCTTTAACTGCATCAATCTTCTCTCCAGCTCATCCCTCGTCCTCTCAGCCTCTTCTCTCATTTTCTTCTCTCGGGCCAGACGCTGCCGTTCCATCTAGGAAAAAGGGATCAGCAAAAGCAAAGAGAAATAACACACGTTAGAAAGGCTTTCCACAGGATGAGAAAGGGTCACAGTGTGGGGGTTGGAGCACAGGATTCCACTGCTGCCTCCTCTCTGCTTATCAACACGGGCAACGTCACTAAACAGGGGTGACCTGATGCACCCTACTCCCTTGAAACGTGCCGTTCCCAAGACAATCCCCTATCCTCTGATCAGGCTGTTACCCACAGCGCTGCTGCACAAGCTGCCTGCAGGTGATTACATCCCCAGACCGTGCCCTCCTGCGCTGACTCCCAGGGTGGACTCACACAAGTTGGGTCCCAAGAGCTCCAACTATGCCTGGAGTTTCTTATGGCAAGTTGAACAGACAGTGAGACTGGGCTTAGGGGTAGTCTGAGGTCCCTCCTTCCCTCCTTGCCTAAGTGTCCTTCCACAGACACACCACAAGGCAGGATTTTGAAGGACATGATCAGACATCTAACCCAGTATCCTGGAAACTTCACTTCCACTCATTTATAGGGATGCCACAAAGAGTGTGACCACCTCTGTCAGTTCCTAGATACAATGAACTCTCTGCCTCCAGCTCAGTCTGCAGGAGATAACAGTGCTTCTCCAGGAGGGGAAGATCCAAGCTACGCTGAGACAACCCACCAGAGTATGCTGAGAGTGTTGTGCAGACAGAGTGTGCCCAACAACTGCCTCTCTGCTAGCTGAGTGCCCAAAGGGAGTCATCGAGCTAATTAACACACCTAGTTTAAAGCATTTCAGTACAACAGAGATGGGTGCATTATAAATATCCACACTGCAGCTAGGACTCCCAGCATTGCACAGGCCACCTGCTGAGTTTAATAAGGGAAATAAGTGCGACAAGACACATTTCTTTGCTCCTTGGACACCAACTGTGTTCTGAAAGCAGGACGCCCACTGTTCTAACAGCTCTGCTTCCTTCTATTAAAGGTTCCCCCCATTAATTATCATTACAATCTGTATCCCACTTAGTACTTCCATTAGCAAGAATTCCCAATATAAAAGGACTATCTGGAACCAGTTAACAACAGCAGATCCTGGGGAGGGAGAAGAGAGAGGGTGAGGCAGCACGGTGGCTAGCTCAGGCAAGGGAAGCCTGACCCTTCCTGTAGAGCACAAGTGCTCTGGATTTGAGATCTCAGGAGAAGAGAGAATCTTCCGCTCTTTTTGTGCCCTCACCTCTCCCAGATGTCCAACTAAGCCCAGGATCTCAGGTCTTGCTGGCATTATTCATAGGCATCAAAAACTCACGGGACTGTAAAACTTGAAGCCACCAGTGTGGACACCATGCTGCTCCTTCCAAGAAGGACCTTTTGCTCCACTAATGCCAACTCCATATTGCCCAGAGGAATCCCCACAGGAAGCAAGATGCCCCCCTTCCCCAGAGAAGCTGTCCTGGTTGCCCTTGTAGTGACTCATTCCCTGTTCTTTCCTGCCACCCCACAAGCTACAGGAAGGAGAACTGCTTCAGGAGGTGCCTGCAGGATAACCCATGGCACACCTCCAGGTCAGCTGAGCACAACACCACATCTAGCACCATACAGGGACCTCTGTGGAATGCTCGAATCCATTAACTTAGCAGTCCCTTGAGCATAAGACCCTCCTGAGTGCAAGTGACTGTTTTGGCTTCTTCTGCTGCTATCTAGCGGCTTTATTGCGAAAGGGACATTTATATTCTAAGCACCAGGACTCAGATTAGCTGTGCAGGTTTCAGGGAGTAGAAAAGGTCTACAAGCAGAAAACAATGATTCATACAATCCAATTTGCTGATATATGCTCATCAGCTACACGCTGCTGCCTCCAAAGAGCCATTTTCGCTGCCTGGGCTGACCTGCAGCAGATAAAGGAGGCCAGCACCGAATTAGCATGCAGGCTGCACGCCCCGAAATGTCGGTGTGCATTCCATCATCATGTAATTAGAAAATGAGGTGAAAAACTACGGCAAAGCACAGCTCCCCCTCACAGCCCCTGCTTTAATTACAAGCAACTACCCCAGCATACTACATCTTTCCAGCTACGGAGCCCAGACACAAAGTGAGGCAGGGAAGATGCACACACACTTGTAGGACACCCAGATCAGCTCTTCCCTCCCATCCTCCCAGTTTGGTTCCCCGAGTGTGGTGGCTGGACTCGGGCTGCCAGGCTGCCATCAACCTGCAGAGCCAAGTTGAGAATGACTGGCAATGTGGGAGCAGGACACTAAAAAGAGATGTTCAGCTGGACCTTCCCTCAAAGCTGCTCTGTGTGCTTGATGTCATTCTGGAGACTGTTCCTTCCCAAGTTCATTTGCATTTCTGATTTGGGCTCACAGTCCCGTTATAACAAGAGGTCTCTCACCTGCTTCCTGGCTTTCTCCTCCCTGGCCTGTGCTTTCATCTGCTGGACCTCCAACGAGTCTGCCTTTCTCCTCCTCATGAAGAGGTCGTGGTTTCCAATACACAGCTGAAGAATCTATTCCAGTTAAGGGTGAAGAGCGGAGAGAAACAGCTGTACATGTGATGACGATGAGGTGGTTTGTATTCTCAACACACAAAACCACTAGAACTGTTTTGGTTTGGTGCTTGTAAGCACTTCCACCCACTGATCCCAAAATCTATGAGCTCTCATACCCATATAAGGGGCAGGGAGCCAAGGCAGAGCCAAGTCCCATACCAAACATCAGCTCCTGGGCTATCAGCTCTTGGCAGAGACCAATTTTCTGCTTTCTGTGCATCCAGTACAGCACAGTTCTGGCAAGTTTCATACCAGCCCTAAAAAGGCCAAATAATCAAACAGAAACTTCTACAGCTCTGACCAGTTCTCTGATTCTTACTGCCCCCTTTCTTTAGGCTCAAGATGAACTTGCACCTTCTCCCAGCTGCATGTTTAAAGCACTGAGATTAAAAAATTTAAAAAAAGAAGAAGGAAAACCACTTTCCATCTTGGATAAACAGAAGTCTTATCAAAAGCTTCCTCAAAGATAACTTTGCTGAAGTGTTCTGAGCACCAATGTGGTTTCCTCTGGTCCTCAAGGAGGACAAGGAAGGTGGCAATACTAGAGGAGGGTTAGCGAAGGGGTGGGTACACAGAAGAGAGACAGCTTTCAGCAATAAAAGCAGGTTTCTAAACTCTGACTCTTTTCTAAGGACTGATTCACATGCCCATCTTCCATTTCACAAGTCACATATTACTTCTCCAGAGCCAGAGGAGCTTCAGCAGTACGACCCTGATGAGTGCAGTGAATGAGGCCTTTGCCAGGAAGCTCCACTTCCCTACGGTACGTGAAGTACAGACCAGCAAAGATCCTTTGTGCAACTTAACAATGGTGCACAGCTACTACAGAATCTGGATCAAAATCTCCTTTAGAAACCAAATCCAGAACACTAGCTATACATAGTCTCCAACACAGATGAAGAACAGAACAGCTCAATGGAGCCTCCTCCATCCTTGTACAAGGAGAGTGTCCTCAGAAGGGACCAGCCTAGGAAGAGCCAGGACTGTGACTCTGGTAACACTGCATCCCAAAAAAGGGAGATCTACGTCACAGGACAGAAAAGATCTGCAGGAGAAGAAAGGGGGTCTTGAGCAAAGATGGGGCTGATGAGAAAGTTTTACTCACTAAGTGCTTCTGCCATGCAGGTCAGCTGTAACCCAAGAGCTTGAAAAGGGAGCACAAAAACAGGAGAGCGGGGTGAGGTTCTGTGAAGGAGCTTGACTTGACCTTCCCCCTTCTCTTCTAGAGGCTATGGCCGTGTAGTAACTGCTATACCAAATCACACCTGCAGTCCAGCCAGGACAGCACACTCCCTCCGACTGCTCAAAGGAAAAGCCCCAAAAGAAACTACTGCTGCAGGAAATAAAAATTACTCTGTCTGTAGACTTACCAGCTTATTCACACGCAGCTTTGATGAATTGAATTTAAAAACATCAATCTTTTTGTCCAATGGCTTAATCGTAAACTGAAAAGGAAAAAATAAAGAGGGAGAGAGTTATCAGAGAGCGGTGCATTTAATAAAAACACAGCTATAAAAGTCTTACTGAAAGCTTTGGCTCAGAGGAGGTCAGCAGTGTCAGACAAACAAGGCTGAGAGCTGTCCCCATGGCTTTTAGCCAAGCAAGAGAACTAGTATCAACAGCAACCAAGGAGACAACTGTTCCCCCAGTCAGAAAAATGTGAGTGCCACACAGAAGCAACGAGAGTGCTGTCCACCTACAGACTGCAATGCCCGACAGCCGATGTCCTCTGCAGAGCACCTTGCAGAAGGCAGAGACAGCTCAGCACCTCCCGAGGAAAGGCGAGATGCTGCTCTCCTGGCAACTGCAGAGAACGGAGAAGGTACAGCAGAAACTCATGGCACTTCTGAAGGGAGGACGGACCAGCTCAGCTGCCCGATGGATGGGCAGGAGGGTTGTATCAGGAACACAGCAACAACCCTTCCCATTGACATCTCCGCTCCCAAGGGCTCCCCCAAAATGATTTTCCATGCATTTTGTTCTCCAGAAGTCAGCCGTGTCACAAGACTGCTCCGCAATTCAAAACATTATTCGCTTGCTCTATCCTGTATTTACACTTCATGTGCCAACCAAACAGCTGTAACCATGGCCTGGATTTACCCTCTCCAAAGAGCTTTCCCACAGCGGGTCTCTCAAGAAGATATAGGTGGAGTTGCCCATCGCCAGGCTCAGAAGTTTTGGTAACACAGTCCCTGGATAGACAGAAGACTCTGAACTAACAAAAGGATACTTGAAGAGACAGAGTGCTCCGCAACACCGCATTTTTTAGAAGGCATGCATGTATTTCATCACTCCCCCGCACACTACAAAAATAACCGGCTGAAGAGATAGCGCTTGAGCAGGCAGTCTGTGTCCATTAAAGTAGGTCTATTTGTCAATACATTGTACTGCCTGAAAAGGCTCAGCAGAACTCGCCCTGGCAGTGTTTTGTTTTGTCAGTTTAAGAGCCAATCTTTTAAGACTTTCACACAGGCAGACATGCGTGAATGTCCCTGGACTTGGGCTCTGGCAGAACCCACACCAGTCACTGAAAGCAACAGCAGAAATATGTCAGGAGCGGAATTTCAGTTCCATGTAAACAGTCAGTCTTTGTTTCGACAGATTAAACCCCTCTGTTGTGTCAACGCAGCTGTCATACCCAGCTATTAAGCCTGTTTACTATCACATCAGGTCTACTTGTGGTCATCTTATTACACAGATGATTGACCTGATGGAAGGTGGCAGTCCTTTCCCCCAAGACAAAGCTCTATTACAGTCTTGTGTCAAGGCCTGGTTACAGAGGCTTCAATCCCCAGATTTCTGAGGCAATGCCCAAGCAGACAGCTTCCACTGCACTCATCTGTCACGGGCAGGAAAGCCTTTGAAAGTCACTAAGTGCTGGGTTGTTTTGCAGAGTTGTGAAGCTCTTTATTTTTAAGGAGTAAAACAAGCAAAGAAAATCCCAGCACGGCCTTACTACTTGTAAAACTTCACAAGACATGCAATAAATGCAGCTGATGAGAAACCTTTAGCTTTTACCCTGATCAATATCACGTTTAGAATGGAAAACAATTTTTAATTAAGAAGCTAATTTTCTTCCTTATCATGATGGCAGCTGGTTTTCTTTGAGCAGCTCACTCAGACTGAAAATTGAGCAGATCAGTGTTCCCTCCACAGCCAATTTCACTGTTATTCACAACTAGGTTTGGTGGCCAGTGATTCAGAAGATTTGTATTTATGCTCTGGATTTAATAAATATCTATCCAAGAGCAGTCTTAAATTACTCAAATTCCTAAAAAGATTCCAGCTGTTATGCCAAGCCCGGCAGGCTGAAAACTCAAGATGATGTAATGATATGGCAAGAGCTCTTCTCGCCAGAAACACATCTCACTATATTTCAAAGAACAGTATATATACACAGTAATATATACTGTAATGCATATAGTAAAGCAGAGATCTCAACTTCTGAACTTTGATATTTGAGCTAAGCACATCAACAGCAATTTTGAGTTTTGAAAAAAATTACATAGGGCGTTTGAACGTACTCTCAAACCAACAGAATAGCCCCCAGTTGACCTCTTGTACACCCACTCCTGGAAGGTTTCAGAAAGGCTTGGAATTAAGGTTTCAATTGGAGAAGCTGAACTGCCCTTAGCTAAGCTGGTGATAGCAAGCACAGCAGTGAGAGAAGACAATTTAAATTGCAATTGTGTTCTTGCTGCTCTCAGGGAAGAGGGGAGATGCATCCATACCTCTTTATCGCTGTATGAGATATTCCGGATCTCATTCCATGGAAAGGAGATCTTAGGGGTCAATCTGTTGTCTGGGTCGTAAATGTGAAGACCCAAGGCATCAACTCCAAGGAGCAGTTCCGTGCCCTTTTTATTCTGGGGGGGGATGAAAGAGCAGAGCAGAAAACCCTTTTATTCCACTTGGAGGGTCTGACATGAGCCACTGTTAGCTACGTGCAGTGACCCGCCAGCGCTAGGTATTAAAGAGAGTTCCTGCCACCCTGGAAACACGCTGCAGCAGGGACTCTCACCAACAGACCGCAGCCATCCCCCAGGTCTGCTGCCTCTCCGAAGCTCCACTCACCCAATCTCAGAGCAACACAAAAGATGAAGACTAACACAAGAGTGACATCAGCAAGTAAAGATGACCCGCAGCTTACACTCACCCTAATCGCAAAATAGTTCACTCCATACATCTCCAAGTCCTGAGCTATCTTCAAATACTCCATTTCAGCTTCATCTCTGTCAGACAAAAAAAAAAGGCCAGTGTTACAATGTTTGGTAGGATCAGAGAGAGGGAGATGGCTGCTCTTTCTGATCCTAGGCACACACAAGGCTTTAAAGCCTGGACTATCTCTATCACACAGGTCAAGCCTGTCTTTGTTGGCAGGATCAATAAAAACTCCAACAGCAAATCCCACTCTGCAGCTTGCCGGCATCTTAATGGCTGCTGACGCCTGCCTGGCAAGATGCAGCACTTCAAGCCTTGCTTTCTCCACCTCTCAATCCCTCAAGCATAAATATGAAATCCCTGGCTGGGAGGACCCCGTTTCAGATCCATCTGACTTTAGGCTTATCCCCCACAAGGAGCATTTTACCACTCAATGCAGCAGTACACCTCATCAGTCTGAATCCCCATTTCTTCCCCTGGCCCAAAAAGGGCAGGCAGGGCTGCCTGCCTCCCTGCCCCTCTGCAGGTGGCCCCTTACTGACCATCAGTCCTAAATTCTCTCAAGGACACCGTCAGCAGTCAGGGGACAGCAGGGCAGATGCAGAGCGATCAAAACAAGCCCTCTGCCCTCTGTGAGTCTGCTCCAGAGGTGTGGTGGGATCAATGCTGCTGTCAGCAGAGCTCATCCATCACCTGCACAAGCTCCCCAAGCCCTGCTGACTCTTCAGGTGAGGGGACTGACCCTGACCCACCACTGCAGCACACAACTCACCTTGCTCTGCCTCGGTGCTCTGCGTACCAGGCCGTTATCCTTTCCTCCCACATCTCTGGAGTCATCTGGTAAAGGTTTATTACCTGAGATACAAGAGGAGACAGAGAACAGGTCACACTGCTGCTCTTGTCAGAGTGTCCTCAGGCAGCAAGCAAGCCAGAAACACCTGAGCCCCAAGCAACCCCTCCCCAGCACTATGTCCGACCTCAAGACAGGCACCTCTGAGCAGGGCAGGCTCAGCCCCGCACTCTGCGGACCCCCAGCGCTCGCTCAGCCCTCCCAAGCGCACAGGACAGGCAAACTGTCCCCAGGCCATCGTGAGGAGACGCAGGCAGGATGAAACCGTGAAAAGAAAGAAAACATTTGCTTCTGTTTTTATTAAAATATGTCAGAAAGAGATTGATTTCTCCTTTCTCAATACATCTTTTGGGATTGCTTGCCTTGGTAAGGAAGCCCAAGGAAAGCAAAGCAGGGTGCACACCGCAGGCAGTCCCACAGAGACCTTCTCTGCAAAGGGCTCTGTTACACAAAACACCACCAGGCTTGGAACCCTACTCATCCACTCAGCCAAGCTCCTTACCCGCTTTGGAAGCAACTCTTCTTGGGCCAAGAAGCCTCGCTTGTGGACGTTGGGATCGTAATCGCCGTACTAGAAAGAAGCACAGACATCGTGCCCACTCCACATTAACAACACAGAATCATCTTGGTTGGAAAAAGACCTTGAAGATCATCTAGTCCAACCATTAACCCAACACTGACCGTTCTCAAGTCTATGGGCAAGTAAAACTCTTCACCCTTACACACCCACCCCTTGGGGAGAGAAAAAAATGCAGACTGCTTACACCCTTCACATCACAACCTGTTAGAGCAGAGAACGCACGCTGCTCAGTAAATTTAATAATTATTTTCTTTGTCATTTGATTGCCGATAGAAACTAACACCCTCCTCCTACTCATGCGGCAAAGGGGGAAGCAAAACAAAACTTCTCACCATCAGCTGATGTCCACCAGTTGGATAAGATGATCACTTCCAAAGGAATTATTCTAATTACCATGCCCAGAAAACACATCCTCCACTGCAGGGAAAGACTCACTCTATAGCTGTGAGGTCGTTGCCTTCCCACAGGGACAGGGAGTCAAGATATGGAAAAAAACCTGTTGCCAAAGGCTGATCTACAGCAGGTGAGGCAGATGGTGGTTTCTGTGTTGCTGCTCACCACCCTCACGAACAAATATTTAAAAAAAATTACAGAAGTTTGACAGACAATTGCAGGCTGCTCTTGGGCAGCTGTCAGCGTTTCAGCCTGAGGGTCTGTTGCCCAACTGGGTCATGGAATCCAATTCAGATTTAAGTGCATCCAGTAATTACTACTATTTGTTTAGATTTACATCTTTTTGAGCAGCATATAAAGTGACTGAGAAATAAAACTGCTTATTAACAGATTGAAAAGCCAAGTGTCCCTGCAGTGCATGTGAAAATGAATTTACCTCCCGTACAGCTTAAGAGGGCAGGAAACAGCCAGAAAACAGCACCTCAAATAACCTAGCAAGTTCAAGAGAAGAGGACGATGGATGTGAGGCACGTACACGCAATGCTGTGATTTTCATTCACCTAGCAAACAGGACTTCTGCAGCGACATTACCCAATTACACATGACACAGCAACGTTTGCTCAAGTCACTCACTTTGCAAGGGAGACGGCCCTCCCTTCCTGCTTTGCTGAAGAACCTCAGCTCAGAAAGTACAAAATGGTGACAATTTTTAAAACTAAGACCAAGTCACACATGGTGCTCACGTATTAAGTCAGGAAGCTTTCTGTATCAGCCTCCTTTTAATGCCAGAACCATCACGTCGCACGCTAAAACCAGAGCTCAGCATCACAAGTCTACACATACATCCCCTCTGCAGTCCAGCAAGCAACGTTTCATAGACGACAAGCGGGGATTAAAGACGCAAATATTGATTTGGAGCCAATGCAGATGTGAAGGAAGCATGCAACAATCAACACTGACTCAGACTTCAATTAACATAACAAAACCGCCACGGATTTCATTCAGGAGGGTGCTGAGCAGCAGCAACTATCTGTCTTGCAAGGTCTACAGATGCTCTGAGCTTCTCAGAAAGCAGCGCATTGCAGATACACGTCCCTTGAACCCACATCAAAAGGGAACAGCAATAAAAATGTGGCACTGGCAAAGGAAACAACTCCAATAACCTTGCAGAGGCAGAAAATAAATCATTTTTAGGTGATGAAAATAATAGCAAATAGGATTAACACAATTATTTTTTGTTGTGATCTACTGTGGAGACCCAAGACTAAGTATGGATTATGTGATTTTCATGTGGTGAAAAATATTGCCACGTCCCAAAGGAATATTTGTACTGAGAGGGAGTCTGGATGAGAACATTAATTATTCACGAGTCAAAAATCAACAAATGGTTTAAGTATTGCAGTATATGTTGGCTCAAACGATTCGGCAAACAAACTTCTAAAGACCTTCTCAATTAAATAATTACTTCAAAACTGTCATGAATTTCAGCTCCTGTTAATTGAACTACATGATTAATATTCATGGTTACACATGGAAGTAGCCTTTACCTCATTCATCTACCTTGGCTTACATCGTCTTGGATAAACACAGGCATGTTCAGCTTCAAAGTGTGAACATCAAGTATTGTCTGTTTTGGGGAAAAAAATAATAAAAAAATAATAGAAGAGCCCTTTGCTAAGTGCTAAAAGATTTGAAGTGCTGAGAGGGCTGCAGCATGGCAGCTATCTGCCTTTAAGGGGCAAGAAATGGAAGAACCTCGTGGATGTGACCATTTTCTGCTGGGAGGCGTTTTTCAGTAGATTCCATGTCTCTCCCGGCTGTTTAAAACCTGAACTGCCTCCAATATCTGAGAGTAGTGTGGGTGGTTTGAATGCAGGGCTAGAGGGGAAAACACATAGTAATTCCCCAAATCAACACAACGATACAGAAATAAATAAGCTTTTATTTTTATGACCCACACGCTTACTTTGTTATTGCAGGTAGGTGCGCAACGCAGTACGAACCAAGCTGGCTGTCAATCAAATGGCTGCAAACACACCGCTATGTCAGGCTATTATGCCCCTAATCATGCAAATCAGCAAGTTATTAGTGAAATTACTGCGCTCAGTGGCTGCTTTCTTGTCCAGAAAGCACATCATTATCCTATTTAACTGGAAGGAGATGACCTGCAACATCTTTCTTTCCAGCTCCGTACTGAAGACATGCTTTCAGCTTTCTCCTTTGCCGACAAAAAAGCAGAAGGGGAAACCTCACCTGGAGGTGCAGCAAGGAAAAGCCATGTCTGATGCAGACATGAAAGCACATTAGGAAAGATCAGAAAAGACATCCCTCCTCCACCTTCTCACAATCTCTGTGCAGAATCAAGATGCGTGAGGTTAGGAGAACTGCTCTGACTCGAGCTGACCTCCTCCAGACCAAGCGTCGAGCACGTCAAGCGTGCTACTGAGCCCAAGGTCAGCGGCCACACTGCAAGAAGAGAAAAGGGATGGCACAACAGTCCTGGACCAAATCACAGCCTGTTCCGATCGCGCAAGCAGAAGCTGTCACGGCCAAGAGTTAACAGAGCTCAATATTTACCCAATGGTTTATTCATTTTTGGTAACAGGAAAAGTCATCCCCTATGTATCCTCAGCTCAGCAGGTCAATGGAGAAAAAGCCAAGTAAGTGTTTACTCATGCACTCCAATACGAGCGATGAATGTTTCAGACAAGCAGAAAAGTATTCTTTCTAAAGTAACTTGTCTTTCCCTGGCTGATGAGTCTCTCGAACAAAATACGGTTTCATCAATATTCTGACTATAAGGAGGAAACATCTTTTTCTAGTAAATTCAAACATTCATCATCAAAGAACACCACTGCATGTCACCCAGGGCTGCCTTCAGACAAACCAGGCATGGACTAAAGTATGAGGAAGATTACATGGCAACACGGAAAAAGCTGCAGTGAAACACCGAGGACTGGTCTCTGTTTCCAACCAGCCTGGATCGGGCCCGCTCTTCAGGCAACAGAGCCAAATCCCCCCTCCGGCACTGCCAGCTAAGGTGGTCTCACGGAGCAGAGAGCTGGCCTGCTCCTCCTCAACTGCTCAACAGCTGTGCTCCTCAAGGACAGGCCAACAGGCCAGACCCAGGCACGGCCACCTACCTGTGGTCCTGCAAGCCAAAATGCCTCCCTAAATTGCATCCAGAGAGTCAGAACCGACTACAACCACGAGGCTCCAGTGATAGCATAGCTGAGGTGCAATTGGACTCCAGTCACTCCTTTTCCAGAGACATTATCTTTACACACATAAACTGGAGATTAGCTAGAAGACTGGTTAATTGAGCTGCAGTGCATGTTGTGCATATACAGTGATAAATTACTTCCCTTTCTGCAAGAACAGGAAGCTCGAGCTGCTCTCTCTACCCCAGGGGTCCCTCTGCTATGGGCTGCTGCAAGCTGTCCAAGGCTGCATGCTTCAGCCTGAAAAACAGAGTGCTCTTAAATAAATCCTCAGCAAAACACACTGACTCTGGGTCCAGAGAAGAATTCAGCCAAGGAATGAGGGGAACTTAATGAGCATTGACTTCTTCTCTTCCTCTGTCTAGTAAGGCCAAACATCCAAGATCAAACCCCAGATAAATGGAGAAGCCAGAAGAGCCCTTTAACACTGCAATAACATTTACGTGGCAAGCTGTAGTAGTCAAAATAAAGTAGTTATCATGATGACAAGTATTCTGGGGAAGCAACGGAGCTGCGAGTCCCATGGCTGTTTTGCCTCTGGCTACAACAGCAAGAGCAGGGAGGAGATCCAAAAAAGCATGGGCTCAGGGAATTCACCTGCTCCAGTAGTAAGCCACACTTGAGCAGGCACTGCAGCTCATGAGCTGCGCACTTGCTAAAGAGTCCTGGAAAGAGAAAGCAAAAATCCGTCCAACGTCTGAAGGCAGCCAGAAACCAGCCACGCAGAGAAGGCAATAGCGCGAGTGTCATCCCCTCACTTCCCAGGTTTTAACAACTTTCCCTGCCTCCCCCTTCCTCAGGAAGCGGGTACATCACGAAGGGCCTCACTTCCCAGAAGCAACGCTAACCCACTGCCAACGCCAGCAGGCCCTGGGGGAATCCCCCTGTGCCTACCTTGGCTTGGACGGCGTAAGAGGCCAGCAGGACAGAGGCTTCAGGAGGACAGTAGATCTTCTCATCCAAAATCTGCTTCTTCACCTGCACGTAGCAGTAAAGGACACATAACACACATTTAGTGGAGCAGTGCAAAGCATGACTGTCACAGCAGATGGTTGCAGTTTGTTTTAACTTGAGCTGTCAACCACACAGTTAACAATTTTCTTAACACTAATTACAATTCAGGCCCAGGAAGTCTCTGGTGGCTTGGAAGGGAAGGGCTCAGGCTTTCACGGGCCACCTTTTTCAGACAGGTTTGTGAGAAGAGCTAAATTTATATGTGGAAAATGACAGAAACTATATTCCATTGCTAAAGGCAAGCGGGGGGGCAAAAGTCTTGAATGTAAACATGGAGATAAAACGTCTTAAGGCATAAGCAATGGATTGATACAACATCTATACACGCCACTAAATTAAAAAAAGAGGTTTGCAGCCAAGTCTCTGAGCACACAAAGGTTTTGCTCTGGGATATTCAGGCCTCATTATCAGTCAGTGCTCACCTGTGCTCAAGGCTAATTCTCTCCAATCCCAGCGGCAGCAAGGAGAGCTGCAGGTCACCTCCGTGGCAGTGCTTTTAGCAGCAGGCAAAGCCCTGTGCACACTCCCAGGAGAGCCAATGTGCAGTTCCCAAAAGCCACAGCTTTATGTTTCCTGGCTTCTGTGCATTAAAAAATTAAGCCTGTCATGTTCGATATTTTTTGGGTTTGCACACTTAATTTTCCTGAATAAAGATAGAAAAAAGAGCATACTATTTCCTACGAGACTTCAATGGATTGTCACAGAGATGCAGTATTTGAATTTATAACATGTTTTGAGCCTTCAAAGTTGGTTACAACATAATCACAGAAGATATTCTCCTGCATTAAGATAAAAACAGGAGAGTTTGCAAGCTTACATGTGCTCCTATTTCCCATATGCATTACAGGAGCCCAGGCTCCTCTCATCATCAGAAATCCTAGTAGAAAAGTCACCGTCTGCATTTATAAAATGCAGCTATAACTGCTTTTCCTCTCCAATTTTCCTTTTCAAAGATGACAACAGCATTTTTCCTCATCAAGGAGAAAGCCCATGGCAAATCAGACATTTAAAAATAGCCCTACAGAGACACTAGTGCCTGAGACAGACCTTGGAAATTAACAGCAATACTTTGCATTTAGAAGTCCTTCAGCTCTGAAGAACAAAGATGAACTCTGGAAGACCGAGGAGTACCAAGAAGTTGGTGAGCTCACTTTGATATCCATTTGAAAGGGCAGGGCACGCTGAAGTCTACAGTGGTATTTCCCAGAGCATCCAAATCCAGGTTGCCTCTACTTTCATGTAACAAATATAAGAATTTTTGTCTTTTTAAAATTTTTATAACTTATTTGTTTTAGAAACTTCAAATTAACAGCCACAGAGCAAAAGAAACATCTCACTAAGTACCTAGGGGTCTGAGTAGGACTACTCTATTCCTTGTAATTGTAGCTGACACAGGACATAGTTTTGGAAAACTGATCTTGTGTGAAAGAGAGCTCCTGTGATAGAAACTCTCCATTACTAGCCACACAGCACTGCTAAAACACCAGCTGAGCTGATTTCTCGGGACACAAAGTTTTGTAATGTATTTTAAATAAAAAAGAAAAAAGTCTGAATATGCATTCACCAGTTTCCAAATGCTTAACGTAAGGGCAGGAGTTACAGGGGGCAGATAGTACCACTGGGCTTCCCCATCTCCCCTGCTTTTGCCATCAGTCTCTGATGGAGCTGTGTTTCTGGGATTTTCTTCTGCTCCAGTTATTTGAAGGCTGTTTTGCAAAAGGTGAACCTTGCTACACAGCCTGAACATGAAACAGGTTGGCTGCATTCTGTTCTTGAGGACAAAATTCCCTGCTCCACATAACGATGCTATCATGTACAAAGGCAACTGCCATCCCTCAGCCAACTGATATCCACACCCTGCAGAGAGGTGGACTCCAAGGCTGTGTGTGTCATTCAAGCCCACATCTGACAGATTCATTTCCCCTAGCTACCACGCTCTGATATTACAAATCACCTAATCATTCCTGACAGCCAGTTTACGAGGTCTGCAAGTCTGGGCATCTGTGACTGCTTCATCCAGACAAACCATCTTTGACCTATTTTAAGAAGTTTTTGTTGTTGAAGACAACTCCCATCAGAGAGGTGTGAACATAACACTCTGCTGACCAACTTTCTGACCCTGGAACCTTCTCATGCTTCTGCTCATCCTGGCTCCTTCTCCCTCATGTTGGAGAACAGACATGGCTCCTACCTGCAGGAAGAACAAGTGCTGTGTGATTTCTTGGACCAGTTCCTCCTCTGCATTCTCAGGATAAAATTTGGCCAGGAAGTGAAAGGTGACGGGCTCCTCTGTTGGAACATCGTGATCCAGAACCTATAGGATACAAGAGCCATTCAGCTACTCTTTCCAGCTCCTTCAGCGCTTGGTCTCTTGGAGCCAAGACACAAGCTCCCTCCTGTTCAGATCAGCACATCTTTTGTCAAGCACTTTAGATATCTAGAACAGATGAAACAACCTAAGTAGTTCAGAAACCATAGTTAAAAAAAGAAAACAAACAAACATTTCTGACACTCCTTAACTATGCAAGAAAACAAACAAGGCAGATACAAACAGCATGCGAAATGAGACAGCAAAGGTTGATTCTGATCTCTGGTGTTTACGTCCGAATCTGCCAGAGCAATGCTATATCCTGCTACGCCACCATCCGACTTCTCGCCGTTTCCCTGCACTGCCTCCTCTTGTATTTATTTCAGTGTTGTTCCTCACTACCTTTCTACTGTGCTGGCACTGTCCAGTTCAGGTTCGTGTTAGTTTAAAACCTTGGCATGACATGTGAGACAGACAGATCTCTTTTACAGTCTTGATTACTGTCTGCTTTTAGTGTAACATCCTTTGGATGCAAACAGAACCACACCTGTCACTTCTCTAACCCACCCCTCGGCAACCTGGAGGCTCACATATTTGGGAAGTGTTTCCTCCCTCACCTCCATCTCCTTTTCACTCCTCTGGTTCTCTTCCCCTAGCTCTTTGTACATCTCAACCACAAAAGTCAAGATGCAACTTCACTTTTCCACTAAAGGTTTTGTCATTCAGGGGCACAGATGAGAGACTTTTAGGTTTCATTTACATTACAGTCACCCTGAAGTCCAGCACTAGCACGGCAACCTCCAAAATGCCTCAGGGGGATTCAGCGTGCATGATCTGAGGCTTCACAGCTCAGGAGCAGGGGTGGGCTATCTCTGCCAACTCTTCCCTGTTTAACTTACAGATGCTATAGGATAAATACACTTCACCCAGTTTACTTCAATACACACGTAACACAGCCTTGGGTAAGCAAAGAAAGAGGAAAAAAGTACATTCTCCTTTGCCATCCCACACGACCTCTCAAGCAAAATGGGGTTCCAACCTTCTTGTCCATTTTGAGCCAAGCCACTGTATCCTTGATAGTGTATTGAAGCCCAAAGAACCAGGTTTCTCTGAGTCCTAGTGTCCTGCATACGAGATCGAACAGGTCCTTCCCTTTCCACTTCACCTGCCGGAAAACAAACAGGAAGCAGAGTTATAAAGATGGATTTCAGAACTTGAGCTCTGTTCAACCAAATGCATTCTTTTTTCACCACACAATACCTTTGGAGAGTGTGAAGAAGGCATCTGGAACAGATAAGGAAACATTTTTATATCCTTCCATCTGATCTCATCTACCAATCACCAACTCCTCCCTCATTAGGAAACCAAGATGAGATTTTTTTTTGCACCCCTGCAAACAACTCTGTAAATAAAGCCCCCCTGTTTCTTCCCCTGGCAACCCACTGACATTCAACAGAGGACCTGAAGGGTCCATTCAGGTGCCTTTTGCGCCACACACTACCAGTTCCCAGCAAGAAAATAAAAATCACTCTTAATTGCCCCTTGGTGGTTTTAATGTCCCCATCTATAGCCCCAGGAAGCGCTGCACAAACTCCAGCATCAGTAACAGGGTTTCACAGACAAAAGCACAATGTGCTCCCAAAAATCACAAGTGAAATGATCTATGTACAAAGTGTGTTCATCCAGAGCTACCGACCCTGCAGAGGTAAAAAAAAAAAAAATGTCACTGAAGTCAGCGGTTCTCCTGGAGCACGTTTTGATAGAGTCAAACTGCATTTTCTACTGAAATTGTTGGTGACAGAAGCAGCTCAGGAGCAGAGAAAATTGTTTCTGCTCAAAGACTGTGTCCTTCGAGCAATCTTGAAGCTGCATCTATGTTGTTACTGAAGTTTGCTCATAAAAACAGAAGGCGTTGGGAGGCAGAAAGGTGAAGAGGGACATAAAACAGATGAATCTAATATGCCAAAGCCACTTTGGTCTTCCATCTGCACGGTGGAAACAATTGCTGGACCGAGACATATGGCCATTACTCTAAAGCCCTAGGGCAAAAGGATCTCGGCACATTCTCTTGTCACTACGACTCAATCTTGGTGCCACCTGGACAGCATCAATTTTAATGCTCAGGCACGGCAGAGGCTGCTGGTGCAGGCATCGTGCCGCTCCCGCTATCACCCACTGCCGCCTTGTGGGCAAAGCCGCTGAGGACAAGCTTATTGCCATTCTGCTGGCTTCCTTTAAATGAGTATATCGCTATATTCTCGCCCTCCCAGGGCGCACACACAACACACACTGACAGTCCCAGAAAAGAATAAAGCCGATGCTACCCTCTGAAAAAACAACACCCCCAGACGGCTCTCCACAATTCATATCAAGCGCCGTCAACACCTTGAGGTCAAAAACACCAGGAAGAGCAAGTTTTGCAGTGTTGTAATTATAAAACCCTAATTTCACACATTTAGCTAGCCTCCAGTCCCCATGATGAGCTCCAGCTCGGCACAGGATGGCTCAGATTGCGGAAGATCTTTTCCTGACTATTATTTTAAGAGGGAGGTTAATTTGAGGGTTCAGACAAAACAGAGCGAGACACATTTAAACAGCTATTTTGTACCATTTCTGTAAGCACATAAAACCAGGCTACCATCAAAGGGCTATTTCTTAACTAGAATTAAACTGCTTTGTATAAAGTGTTATTGGCTGTTTTTTCTGTCTGCAAAGACCACATTTCAGCCTACTGCTTTAGAGGAGCGATCAGTGCCTGCACATACACAGCCCTGCACCAAACCTTTCCCAGGACAGGCTCCTGTGTGCTGCCGACGGGAGCGCCTCCTCCCTAGACATCGCTCCACATCCCACGGGATCAGTATTTTGAACAACCCCGGGGCAACCCCACCGATTCCTCCACAACACTCCGGATGGGATTTCCACCAAGCCACCCCTGCAGAGTTTCACACAGGCACCCAAACCTTATTCACCACACTGCATCAGCTGGCACGACCCAAAGCTTTTCTCCCTAAAAGCAAGCTGGCAGCTAGTTTTGAAGACCAGCAGCAAGCATTAAAGCAAGAGTTTTGTGGGTTTCCCCCCCCCTGCAATTTCAATTTGGTGACGGGAATATTTTAAGCGATTGCTTCTGCTGTTAAGATTTTACACCGCCACTCTGTCATCGCATGCGTACGTTATGGCAGAAATATATATTTAACATTCCTGCCTGCACAGTGCTAAAGTCTCCAACCGTAACACCGCACAGACATCCTCCCCGACTGTGCTGAATTACCTTCATTAAATATATAAATGGAACAGCAGCCACGTTTATTTCAACATACATGATTTCATTCCACACCTCGGTACTTAAAATAACGATCTGCATTCAAGTGGCATCTTTTGACAGCTGAACTCCAACTGTTTTACAGACGTTCAGGACCTCAGCCCTCATCATCCTTACTCGATAGGCCTCATATCATTAACTACCACATTTCCTGGCCATAAAACACAAAAAAGACCCCCCCAGGCAAGAAGAGGTGAAGGGAGCTGGTGTCCAAGGCTGGCCAGAGAGTCTGGGGGAGAGCCAGGACAGGCTGGCAGTTCCCCATCCCATGCTCTGCCCGTAACACCATTCCCTCATTCTGCACTAAAGTGACACCTGAAGCACAAAGACGACTTTGCAAGCTGTTACGTGCTCCTGAAAACAAAACAAAAAGGCTCTGAGCAAAAAAAATCCCCTTTCAGCCTTACACCAGAGCGGCTGGCACGATGCTATAATAAAGCTCAATCTCCCAATAAAAAGCTGCATCACGATAACCTTAACCCGACCCGCAGGATGGAGAGGGATGTGTCGCTTCAGCATCCTTGATCAGCTGCAGGCATCGCCTCTTGCATCTGCAGCTTTGCGTTCTGCCATGAGCACGATCGCACGGCGGGTTGTTAGATATATTCGGCGAGTCGTTGAAGGAATACGTGGACGAGCTGCTTTATAAACAGGGTAAGTGCTGCAAGGCTGTTATTCTGCAGAGCTGGAATTTATGTTCTTTACTAAGTACAGAGCGCTTACAATTTATCAGCAGAGCGTTTTAAGTAAACAGCACTAAACACTTAAAACTCAGCAGCCAGTGGCTAGAATAGAGTACTTCCAGTACAGGTTATTGGCATCATCTTTTTCTCCAGCAGAGACATCGCATTTGGCATCTATTAACAGGGTTTGCATTATTTATTAACCTGCACCAAGAGTCATTTCCAACTAGCAGGCAACTGGACAATTTATTTCAGTGCACAACCTTTCTGTCAAGTTTCACAACCGCTCCTTTGCTAACAAGTCGATAAACCAGCCGCAAAAACGAGCAGAAGGGTTATGAGATCCTCTTGTCACAGGGTGATAAGGAAGAAGGCCAAGCACTACAAAAAATGGGCACCAGGACACAAGAGAGAGCAACCCTGCACATAGAGGCTTGAGTGGGGGCTCTACAGAGAAAAGTGATTCCCACCACTGGCATAGGCTGATGCTTTTCTTCCAACGATGTCAAACTGGATTTACACCAGCTACGAGGAAGAGGGAGGGGGAGGGGGGAAAAAGGGCATATTTGATCCATTTAAAATTAAGGTTCCTCACACAAGAACCTCTACTCAGACAACAGGGATGTGCCCAAACTCCAGGAGACAGAACTTGGCTCTGTCCAGGGCTGGCGGATGGAGAGTTTGCCTCCTTGTCCTCACAAATGCAAACCATCAGAGCTTCAGCTGTCCCTGGGGTCTGGCTGGGGAATAAGGGCACAAACAAGCAACTGGAGCAGATTAAGGCAGTGCTCAGCGGCTCAGCCCAGGCACACTGCCTCCCAGAGCAAACCTATGGCAACAGTCCCTCCATATCCCACAACACCCAACCACTTTGCAAGAGGCACAGTATTGGGTTACAGAACGACCTTGAAGAAATTACTAAACACCTATAAAATATTTTACTGCACCAATTTATCCTTAAATAATGCAGAAAATGGCTTTTCACTGTAGCAGATCATTTCATTAAGCGTTAGTTCTGTGCTAGAGATGAGAAGAGAGCACAGAGCCCCTGTTGGGATGACACGACAGTCTAAAAGACCACAGAGAAAAGGGGGACCAAGCCCCAGGAAGAAACGCTCAGCTTCCACTGCGTGATGTTATTTCCATTTAGAAGCAAGCTTTAACAAGAGGATATGACACCTCTGCACTGAAACAGGGAGGGAGATGGCAGAAGGGAGAGGGCAGGGGCTGAGCAGAACATCCTGCCACTAATGATCTGGGAATCAATAAGTGGGTAGGCTGTATATGTTCCTCATCCCACCAGGAGATGCCCAAAACACCCACAATAGTTTACAACCGAAACTGAGATAACTTTGAGACTGCAGACCACATTTATTTCTTCTTCTGGACTTGAATGGTAAGAGTGCCACAGACAATCATTTATTTGGATTAAAGTCCATTTGGAGCAAAGGGGGAATCAAATATGCAATATTCTTCCATTTTTTTAAAAATAAAGTGATGTCAAATACATTCAATTGCCACTTACTGAGCCACAAGACAGGGCTGTAAAAGTTATTTTTATTTACTAATGCTACACGACAACTCGATAATGAGCTTTTAATTAAAATCTATTTCTGTTAACCACCAAGGAGGCCGAAAAGGCGCCCAGGCGTAATGACAGATGGTGCAGCCAAGCACATTTTGTGGTGTCTGCCCAAGACAGAGACAGAGCAGGGTACACGGGTGAACACGCTGCTGTGGCTCTGGCCAGACGGCACCAAAGCAAGTGGGAGAGGCAGAGGGGACAACCACCGATGACGTCCCAAAGCCTCATCTCACCCCGCAGTTGGGTTTGCACAAATTAAGAGTTATGGGGTCAAACAGCAGCTCGATGCAGGGGAAGAAGCTCCAAGAGGCTGAGAGAAGGATCTTGTTCCTGCAGGGACCGCTGGCTTCCCGTGCCAGGGATGCACAAAGATACAACGCTGGACGAAGCCATCTCCGTGCTGCTGTTGCATGGTCAGTCTGCAGTAGAGCACACTCCTCCCCGCCCCAGGAAGGGCCACGCAGGGTGGCAATCAGAGTTGAGCCTCACACCTCTGTGGGAGCCCACTGCCAACACACACAGGGTGTTTCAGCACAAGCCTGACCTGCTCAGATGATCTTCTGCACACTGATGCACTCTGAAAACAGACAGCTTACCCCAGGGAACGCCAAGCTAGGCTTTAAGAAACCAGCGTTGTCAGCCTGAAGAGAGAGGGTTAGCCTTGCTGCAGCAACAGCAAGTTTATCTCTGAATGAAGCAAGGCTAAACCACGTATACTGTCAAATGCCCCTCCAAGCCTTAAGGGCTGTTTGATTTTCTAACAGAGTGATGCCTGCCAGCTTCAAGTAGATTGTTTCCAGGGCTGCTTCCCTGTTCAAGCACTTTTAATTTCAAAAAACCACCTACTTGAAGGACACTGTCTGTAGAAAGGAGGGGAAAAAAAAAAAAAAAGTATGTATTAAACAGCATCAAAACTAGAGTCTATATACCAAAAGACAAAGATATGCTGTCTCAAATGCCTTCTCTCCTTCCCCTTTCCATCAACATACCTCCTCTGGATTAGCCACAGAGACAGGACTGACAGCGGTTCTGAACCATCTTTGGAGGGAAGTGGATAACATGGAGTTTCATAACCAGCTTAGAAGAGGCTGCAATGGGACACAGGGAATCCAGAGAGCATTTCAGATGCCGGGTGCAGGCAGAGAGAAGCCAAAGGGGATCTGTGTTCATAATAAGTCTCATGTGACTTGCGCACAGCCTAAGGGAATGCAGAACTGAATGGCACCAAGCAAGGCATCTCTGAAAAATTAATTCCCAAACAACACTGTTGTGAATCAGCAGAATTTCTGACTTTTTTTGGCATAAACCCCTCCAAGACATGAAGTGAGAAAAAGCACTTACCTGCTGTGTCTTGTATTTAAAGAGAGAACAGCAGCAACCAAACAGCACAAACTCCCAAGCACTTGCAGAGCCGACAGAGGATCGGGGCAGATGGGCGCACTAAGGAACCAGAACATTGACTTGACAGCTGGTATCCCAACAATTTACTGAAGATCATTTTGTAGCTGAGGGGGATTATTTCTCTCAGCTTTTTAAAATAGCTGTTACTGCCCACAGATTCGTCTTTTCCAGTTAACTTTCTGCCTGCTTGCAGAAGCTTAGCAGCACCGAGAGAGGTCACAGCCCCTACTAGCATCACTGAGCTGCTGCTAAACGTTTAACCAGGGCTGGAAGGATCTTTATAAAACCCCTTCCTAGTATTTGGCAACGCAGAAGGAAGCTGAGGGCACCCCGCTCCCTGGTTTCCTTCTCTTGCCTTTTCATTTTGGGGACAGAGCTCAAAACTCACCCCTGATTTACTGTACCAGCTCTTACTCAAAAATTTACTTGGTTGCAGATCTTCACCACCAAACCTTCGCTCGTTCCTGTTTCAGAGATGAGCTTTTGCAGCTCAGCTACGTAACTCCTTGTGTCTGTTAACAGAGAGTAACGTCCAGCTGCACGCTACTGAAATTGGATCTCACAAGCAAACAGAAAAGCTTTACAACCAACCTCATCCAACTGGCCCTGCACCGAGTGGGGCACTGTTAAAACGACCCCTTCCAACCAAGATTATTCTCTGGACAGAGAGGGAGAGCTTAAGCATTGAGCAGTAACAGGATGCACGTTTAGACCAGCCGATACATCAGTCCAAACTTGCCTTTCCTTGCTGCTTGAATGCTTAAGCTGTTTCTCTAGGTTGGCTGTAAAGCTTTTCCATTCATTTTTAACTTAAGACCCACAGAAGCTGCTGTTTGAAAAGATTAAGGTTAGGAAACAGCTGGGCAGCTAGCTGCACCTCAGCAGAATAACCATCCCTGCAGGAGTTTCAGGTCCGAGATCACAGGCACAGTAGAAAGGGCTGAAGAAAAAACACAGCCTTCAGAAAAGGTGCTGTGGCTCCAGAGATGGAGAGCCACTGACCACTGCAATAGGAAGAAATGGGCAAAGACATACACCAGACCAGAAGACAGACTGATGGGTTCTCCTATCAACTAGTGAATGTGATTCTTGGAGGAAAAAAAACGCACATCGGAATGTGTGAGACCAACCTGACAGCAGCCACACCACGCCACCACCACCCCGCTGGAGGGACAGGACAAACGATGCCTCGGAAGGCACAGACTCAAAAAGACCACAGGGTTTTAAGATGTTATGCCTGTATAACAGATAACTGATGACCTCATCTAGAGAGGCACCACCAAAATCAAATTACCTTTGCCACATCAACTACTTTAATTTGGTTTGGGGACACCATCAGCAAGTTTCACAATTGGGGTGGCAACTGCAGAGGAAACCATCAGGAACGGCAGGCTCCTGGCACCACACTGTGAACTGACATCAAGCCATTAGTGCAAGTACCACACCCTGGCAAGCGCTGCTGTACACTAATGCCACTTAAAATAAGCTTCCTGAATCGGTACCCAAGCAGCATACCGCCTATCATGGCGTTCATCGCAGGAGAACATCAACATTAAATGTCTTTCAACAAGATTTCTCTTGTGCTGCTCTCCAAGCACAGAAAGCTGAAGGACCACATGGACTATTTGAGGGTGTTCTCAGGAAGGTAGGGCAGCTAGGGAGTGCTTTAAGATGGGGATTTTAAGAGCTATGCAAATGCCTATCCTTCCTCAAGATGCTATCAATTAATTAGGTACCAGGCTCAGACAACCATGATGGAAGTAACAAAAGGAAGACACTCACTTTGTGCCTTCAAGATTTCCCCAAACAAATTATAAGTCTTTAAAGTGAAACCCCAACTGTGATTATTAAGCTTCATCGTCATGTTAGAAAGATTAAGATGTCATTTCTATGAATTATTTTAGATTTAGGCTCAATTTGGAGACATCATTTGCAGAGTAAACAGATGCAAAGCAGGTTTAATCTCTTCAAATACACAGCTGGGGATTTCTACGGGGCACATTGAAAAATTAACACAGGAAACTGAGGTCCCTCCAGCTATGAGGGTGTTGGTGGGGTCAGAAGAAGAGGGACTGCTGGGACAGGAGCTGGAGCTCTACAGTTTGCACTAAGTGACCTTCAGTCCAGCCCTGAGAGCCAGCCATCAAGCCAGAGCAGGTTACAGATTCAGATCTCTCAGCTGCTCCACACGCCCTCCACGGGCCAGGGCAGAGCTCACTAGCCCTAGCTGCTCACCACACTGCCTAGGCAGCGCTGCCAGGTCTTACACTCCGTGGCCTCTGCCATTTCCAGCTGCTGGGCTAGCCTTGAGGTCTCAGGCCTCTGCTGTCACTTGCCTCGAGGTGAGGACGTGGCCTCTGTCCTGCACAGTGGGGCTGGGAAGTTTAACTCATGACAACACAGAGCACGCCTCGAGAGCTCTGGAATAAAGTTCAAACAAAAAACATCAGTTATATTAATCCCACAAAGAAAAGCCTCTACAATAAAGTGCTGATTGTTCAAATGTGTTTACCAGCAATGCGATCAGTACCCATCCAGGAGGCCACTGGTTAAGCTATGCTGAAGACCAGCACATGTAGCATCAGGGTCCCCAGAACAGTCACAGGCACTCCGGACCAATCACTGGCCAGGCATCCACCTTCTGGAGAAGGAAAAGTGGGGAGAAAGCAACACAGCAATGCTGGGAGCACAGAGGCAGAGCACGGAGACAAGCAGTGATGATCTGCAAAAGGGTGGAGGGAGGATGGGGGCTTCTGGATGTGGATGGGACCAAGGACATGACAAGATGGCACAGCAGGATGACAGAAATCAGCCTGCTCTGCCTGGACCGCAGCTTTGGCACGTGGAGGATGCAGGAGGGAGCAACAATTTCATGCTGCCCCATCCTGTTCTGAACACCCACCTCACAGCTCCAGAGGCTTAAGCAAACTGTGTTCCCCAGATGGCTGCCAAGCAGGCAGGGCTGGCTCCCTGGCAAGGCTATCTGGGTGGGCAACCTGGGGTGAAGCCAAGGTGTCTGTGTGGATTAGGCAGAAAAACACGCTTGCACTCCTTCCTCTGCCTGATGGGCTGCTATTCATAGCAAAGTTTGAAGCCCTAGGCAGGAAGCAGGCTCCAGCACCCCAGGTACAAAACAAAACCCAACCCAAGGTACAACCCCAGGACTACCAGCCTCACAGAGGAATTGCTGAACCCCCAGCTCATTCCCTCAGTGAAGCCAGGAGATGCCCATGGCCAGAGACCAGCAACGGCAAAAAGGGAGGGGACAAGCACAGGCAGAAGCCAAGAGGCAGCTGTGGTTCCCCCTGTCCAGCTCAGCAGGGAGCAGCGTGCCCCCAGGAGCAGGCTACCAACGAGACCTCCAACAAGCCATCAGCTCTCTGTCCCCCTCAGCACAAGGTTCCACTCACAGGCTGTAAAAACAAATCTCAAGAGCTGCCCAAATTGCACAACAGCAAGACTCCCATGAGACCTCCTTCCACTAGTCCTCTAAAGAGTGTTCGTGCAGCAGAGGTTTCCCCTTGCCCAGCCCCCTGCTCGGGTCAGCAGTCCTCCTTCCCATCCAAAGAAACCCACCGCATCAACACACACAGATACTCGGACAAACGTCGTGTCACTCTTCTCCCATCTTGCCCTTCCAGGGCCTTGGCAAACCTTTGGACAGGGACTGGATCCCTTCAGGGAGGAGCAGATCATCACTTCTCCCACCCCTCTTGACTTTCAGGCAGTGCAGCCAAGACCACCGCGAGCACAAAAGCTACTCCTGGCTCCAGGTCTCACCTTGAGCTGCTGTGGTGAGGAACAAGCCAAGCTCTGCCCTGGGCCACCTTCCTGTCCCCTCCCTCACACCAGCCCCTGCAACTCGAGGCCAAAGGGTGTGTCTGACCCGTGTTGGGCTTGCTGCATTTCTGCAGAGTCAGCAAACCAAGGAGCTTTCCCCAATGGGGGCAGGGAGCTGGACTGCTTGAATAAAGCTTGAATAAAATTCACACCTCAGGCTGGGCTGCCCTGTGCTTGAATAAAACTCACACCTTGCCTGCACCAAGCATGGTGTGAAACAGCCCCATCACCCACCTGTATCCAACTATTTCCCTCCCTCCCCACTAAAGGACAATGCCTGAAGTCCCCCATACATCCCTTGTGTGCCAGCTCTGACAAGATACAGGAGACCCAAGCAGGACCATACACGCAGCTCATGGGCTCCTTCCCGCACTCCCAGAAGGGCTTGAGAAGTTTATCTGCAGCAACAAGCTTTTTTGGCAAGAATCTCCAAAAAAAAGTCATCCGAAGATACACAAGTTGTACAGTCAAATCCCCCCCCCACCCCGAGAGTGTTGCCTTACCACTGCGCAAACACCCTGATCCTAACGTGAAACAACAAGTGGCTGCACCACTGAAACAAAAAGTTATTTACTTTTCATCATATGTTATTACTGGCAGCCTCGGAAAAACATGCAAGAATGGAGCCAGGCCACTTAAACTCTCCTGGCAGCTTAACGGTGGGAAGCTCGCACAACTACTGTCTAAAATAAATCTTTAATCCCTGGGAAAGGCAGAAAGTTCTTCAGAGCTGACAACAGATTTCAAGAGCAAGAAAATGTATGAAAACAAACACCCCTTGGCTTATGGGCACTGCAATTCCATCACGGTTTGGATAAGATTTAATAAATATAAACTATTAAAAAGAAAAGTTAAACTGGATAGAGATGGATTTCAATGTTTGTGTGTCCAATTCCTCTAGATCAGATGAAAATGAAGCAACAACAAACCAGACTCCTGGGGCTTGACAGCAACCGCCCAGGAAAGAACATTTAAGAACAAAAAAAGGCCCAAAAAAGGAAAGTATCTACGCAAAACCAGACACGACAGGAGTAGGCACCAGGACACAATCCCCCCAGGAACACTCCTCACACTCGGGGCTCAGCTGACAACTCATGGAAGTGTGAAAATGTCATTCATGTGCGTTTGTTGAGCACTTTGAGTTGGACCCTCGCGGATTTGAGCCTCAACACCTGCGATACCACAAGCCCCAGGCTCTTCACTACAGCTT